TTACCCTTTATAGTAGTAAAAAATAGTAACTATCTCTAGAGGCTTGGGGACATATGAGAAGACTCACATTTTCTCTTTTGCCTGCCTTTTCTTTTTAAAATAATTTATTTTATTTTATGTGCATTAGTAGGAAGGTGTCAGAGTCCCTGGAATTGGGGTTACAGACAGTTGTGAGCCGCCGTGTGGATGCCGGGAATTGAACCTGGGTCCTTTACGGAAGAACAGGCAGTGTTTCTTAACCCACTGAGCCATCTCTCCAGCCTTTTGCCTACCTTTTCAAACAGCTAGACACAATAGTTTGAGGGTGGAAACCTTGCTTCCAGGTGCTGGCACCACACTCCCGACTAGCCCAGGAGGCTTCCAAGCTCACCTGTGGTTGCCCTCTCTCTGTCCTCTCACCGCACCGGCTCAGGGATCTCACATAAGAGTACCTTCTCTCTGCCCCATTCTAAGCTTCAGCTCTTCCACAAACCTGGCATTTCATTTGGTTCCTGTCCATTTGGTTCCTGTCCTCCACTTAACCCTTCCTGCCTAGAGTTGCTTGAAGCCGTTACCTACACAATTCCACAACCTTTAATTCCCCTGTCACATGATGGCTGTACCTGGTTTACAGATACATGCTCATCTCTCAGCTCCATCTGCTCTCGTCAAGTAGGCGATGCCATAGTCTCCCCTGCCCTGGCTGTAGAACCTGCCCTTTTACCCCAAGGCAGAGCTCATAACCCCCAATAGATCCCTCACCTTAGCACTACACAAAACCATCAGCATATACAGGGATTCTAAGTATGCTTGCCACATTCTGCATTACCATGCTACTCTTTGGCAGAAGAGAGGTTTCCTCACCACCAGAGGCACATCTATTACCAATAGGCCTCTAATTCTAAAGCTGCTGGAACCCTCTTGCCTTTCTAAACAGGAAGCAGTTATCAGTGGCTGCTATGGGTTTGGCTGAAGGTGGCATGGGCACAATCTGCAACTACCTCAGCTGCATCTACGCAGCTAGCAGACATCTTCTAGGAATCAAACTCTGGTCTGCAATTCCTCCAAAACCGGCTCACTTCTCCAGCCTTGGTGGTCCTACAAAACTGAAGGGCCCCCACTTACAAACAGCTGAAAGGGAGGCACTTACCTCTTCCTCAGAGAAGAATGCTATTATTATGTTAAAACAGTCTGGCCAGATGGAAGAAAAGAGTAAAGACTGGGAAAGTCTCCTGGCTTCCAGAGGCACACTCTTTTACAGAACTCTCATTTTTGTCTCTCTTGGGCCCCTGGCTCTTACACCTGCTTGGTCCACTGTTTTTCACACTCCACATAATAATGATAGCACCCTGTCTCTTCAATTTCTTTCAGGAAAGATTAGTAAAGTCACCTGATGCTTGGTAAGCCAGATGCTCCTGATGGATTTGCCCCAAGCCTCCTACCATCGCCTACCAGCCATAGCTTCTAACCTCTATAAAGTTGTTTGTACTGTGCTAGCTAGCCCCAGACAGACCTGCAGAGTGGGCAGTGAGTAAAAAAACAGATGTTTCTGACCATTGCCTTTTCCTTCCTGGCCTTTTGACTGCCACTCCAGCTTTTCTGGATCCTCACAAATGAAGTCCTAATTTCAGCTGAGAAGCAGTTATAGAAGAGATTATGTCTAGTCACCCTCTTTCAACAGCAAAAAGGCCAGAATGTCAGGTCCCAGGAAATTCCTTTTCCCAAGGTCTGGATTTAAACAAAAGCCAGTGCTCTCTCAGGGACATGAACAACTAGTTCCCACTTGCTAGAAGGAGTTATTCTCAACTCTGGCAAAAAGGGCATATGACCCTTCCATTGTTATATTCCCAAGGTGCTTATCAGTGTATCAAGGTCCATGCTAGCCACCAGGTTGCCTCAGTTTCTGCTTACAAGTACTTGTCATATGCTTCAAAGCCTTCCAGCCTGCTGGCTCTCTTTCTCCCAGACACCATTCCCTGAAAAACACCCCTGTCCTCCCATTGCTTCTCTCTGCTTTCCTGAAAGACTGACTTAGCAGTGTGGAATAAATGCTTTTTCACCCACTGAGCAGGTGTTTTGGTTTCTTTACTCTGCCTTTCACATTCAGGAAGTAGTTTCAAGAGTAGGGAAAGCAGAGAAAAAAAGAGAGAGAGAGAGAGCCCATCCTCATAATAGACAGTAGGTGGGGAGCTTAGGCTAAGAGAGGAATACTTATCTGGAGTCCGATTTGTAGGTGGATACAGTCTCAACTCCCTGGAACTTACATGAATTTAAAGCTTTGGTTATATTAGCATCACCACTGTTTGGAATTTGCACTGAAACCCTTATTGTATGTGTTTGTAAACATACTCACACCTTTGAGTCATAGAAAAAGCTATGGTTTTTGGTATTAAATCATGAACACGCCTCTGTCTAAGAGCTAGATATACAGACTGGACAGGGATGTTTTCAGCACAATGAGAAGTACTTTTAAGTCTATACAACCAAAGGAAATTTAAAAATTTGAGCCCATGACTAAGATAATAGTAGTCAGTACTTTACCAGAGTTCCATTGATTAATGTTAGAACCTGAACTTTTGAAGTCTTGCTATATAACAATAGCATACTTGAAGTCTTGATATAAAAATAGCAAACTCAGAGGGAAAGAAAATATAACAATAGCATACTCAGAAAGAAATCTGAAACACTTCTCATTTTTCACATATCTTAAACCTTTACAATTTGCATTTACACATCTTAAATCACTTTCATAGACTCTCACAACTTATTTAAGCTTTTACATGCTCAGACCTTTACAACATGCATCTACATATCTTAAATTACTTTCTTAGACCCTCACAACTTACATCAACTCAGCCTTTTCTTTTCATCCAATGAGACACAAATGGTTGATTACTGAGAGTAGCCATTGCAAAGCAAGTTCCTTTAAATAAAGGGATAGCAGAACCCATTTGGAGAGTTTCTCTGTTTCAGTATGAAGTCTGCCAGCACAGCAAACTATCTGTGTCGATTTTTACATAGGAAATGGACTGACCAGGAGGCTGCAGTCTTGAGGGAGGAGCTGGTGTGCTTGCTGCTATTAAACTGCTATAGCTTACTGCTATTAAACATCATCAGAGATCTGAAAAGGTGGGCAGGGCATGGGGCAGTTCTTTTCCCAGTGGTTACTGTTACCATAATCCACATGGAGTCACCTTAAAAATGTTGCCTCTATGAGCTGACATTTCTGTCAATCATGAGGAGCTTTTTCAATAAACACTTTAAAGGCCATATTCAGCAGAGCTCTGAGAAGTTTGAGAACCATCCATTGAGTATACCTGTCATAGATCTATCTATTTGTTTAAACAAGAGTTGAATCACATATATAGGATGCTATAGCAGATTAGAACAGTATAGCAGTGTATATTTTTAAGTACCAGCCATTTGTTACAAGTTTTAAGCCTTTTGTTACAGATTTTTAAAACCATACCCAATAAACTTACAAATCCTGCCATAAAGAGTTCACACAATAGTTTTAAGAGATTTTTTTTTTTTGAAAATAGAACAAAGAAATGATAAAAGATTTTTAGGCGTAGAAAATAGAAAAAGCTTAGAGACCAGAGGCTTTTTGGAGTGGAGATCAGAGAAAGTTTATACAGAAGATATTTGGGGGCCATTTGTTTCTACAGTGGCAGAAGCTGCTGCCAGATGAGAGAATTTGGAAATCAAATGTCCCATTTTGGGGCATTAAGCTGTAATGAGGCCAAACTTTTTGCAGTAAGACAGTGAGGATTTAATGAAATCTCTGAGTCCAAGGAGGGAAGAATAAATGGTCACAGACAAGAATTCTACTAGATGGAAGTTTCACTAAGCTCCAATAAGTTCCAAGAGGGAACTGAGAAACTGAGGAGAAAAGGGTCGCCATGAGGGACAAGGATCGCAGGCAGGAACTCCTCGAGAGCGAAGATTCCAAAATTGTAGAGGCCCAGGAGGGCATAAGGAAGCTGAAGGACTTAGGGAGCAGCCCTGAGGGTGAGGTGAGGAAACACGTGGGGAGGGAGGAGGGGTGGGAGAGAGAACTGCAAGTGTCCTGGTGGCAAGAATTTCAATCCGGGCATCCCCAAGTGGAGAGAGAAATGTCCCAAATCACAGAGGGCGGGAGGAACATCCTGGCACATCAGTGTGGCTTTTATAGTAATCACAGACAAAGCAGGCAGCTCTGTCCTAATGTTTACCTAGTAGAGGAGGGAGGAGTGGTGAGAGCAGGTGAATGAGAAAGCAGCTGAAGACTTGGACTGGGAGAGGCTTTTAGGAAAAGGATTCTGATAGAGGAAGAGGGGTAAGTTGTCTTAGCTGAGAGATGCCCACATGCTGGCTCCAGGAGATAGAGAGACTAAGAACATAATTTATTGAGTGGGCAAGGAAAGATAAATGGTTAGAGCCGGTGGAGAAAAGAAGCTGAAGAGGCAGGCTCTAAACTCCGGAGTCAAATATGGTGCATGGCTTCTAGGAGTCAGCAGGAGCAAATGATTCAAACATACTTAGGAGAGTCAAAACCAGTAGACTGGTGTGCTTAGGAGTGGCTGAACCAGTTGGAGGGGGCCTCATCTATGCCTCTTCTGGGGTTCAGCACCAGATGTATATAGTAAGGGCATGTCTGCTCCAAAGTATTGAGGGATGCTTTATATTGTAGATAGGAGGGAGAGCACAGCCAGAGGCCACTGGAAGAGTCCAGCACAGAGAGAAAAAGTAAGTGGTAGATTCAACATAGCCAGTAGAGTGAACTAAGCCATGATAGGGGAGAGGAGGAGGACCAAAAGATGTGACAAGAGAAAGAGGGGCAAGAATAAGAGCCAAGAGCACACAAGGCCAAGATTATGTAGGAATGAGAAGCCAGAGGAAAGAAAGCCCAGGAGCTGGAGAAGTTTAGTGCAGGGGGTGGTGTGAGGAGAGCTAGGATGCCAGCATGGACTCCGTGCCACAGAACTACCACTGACAGAAACCACAGACCCCAGTCCTCCACTGGCTCCTCCGGAATCGTGTTACCAGTTAACGACCTGCATGAAACCATAGAGAAAGCCATTCTCTTTGGTCCCCCTAGGGACTACCTAACAGGTACTTGCTCTGCTTGGTGCCCGGAGGCCAGCATGTGCTTTGGTATGCTAAAACCACAGTCAGACATTTATCCCACATTTCTTTTGGACTGACAGATACTGATTTTAACTCACCGGTACTTTTTAAGTAGTAGGTTTAACTCCTGACAAATTAACAGTCTCTTATAGATATAATTAGTGTGAGAAGAAAAACCAGAAGGAGGGAAGTACAGGGTAGAAGGGGGGAGTCTGTATTAAACAGCTGTATGGAGGGCACCTGTGCACAGCTGCAGGAACAGCTGGTAGTCTGAGTGATACCCCTGGGACTGGGAAGAGACACACACCAATGTGTACCCACCTGTCCAGTGTCTTGAGCTGCAGCCTTGAGTGGCGAAATCCCCCTCTCCGGACTCTTTCTGAGTTCAGACTGGGTGGTCACTCTTGCGTCTCTCTCTGTGATTGGCAATGTGGATTTCCGGTCAGAACGTGACCTGTGAAGAAACACACATCTAGTCCTTGTTGTCAGAACTTAGAAACCCCTCCAGGGCCTGTGAGCATCCTGTTCTACAGTAGCTGGGCACAGACATGGAAACAGTAGCCACCTCTCTGGACTTAAAGTCAGGGAAGTCACTCAGACTTCTTGGACCACAGAGAATGGCTTTCCCTATGGTTTATTGCTAACTGGTAACATGACTCCATAGGAGCCAGTGGAATCTGTGGTTTTTGACAGGGGGAATTCCAGGGTAGAGTAGCTAGAAAAAACATTCATTGTAGCTTATGGAAGCTGCATTCGTGCCTGACCCTGCCTCATTTAATTTATCATGCTTTTAATTATTAAAGAAACGTGTTCATCAAATTGCAGCACCCACGTTCAAGGAGAAACCACATTGTAAAGCAGAAGCTTGCTACTCAGCTGTAGCTTGCAGCTGCCCTGCAGACATGGAGGGCCATGTCACTGAGCCTCTCCACCCCATGGCTCGGCCCTCCCGTGTGCATGCAGGTGGCTATGTGACACTTGAGGAAGAGCCACGTTTTCTTCCATCTGTGAGCCGTGGCCTGCCTCTGTCTGAACATTCATCTACTGCAGGAATTTTGTCATTATGCACGGTTCTCGCCCTTTTACAACAAAAGTTTTCTGTAAGATTGGCGACAATGGTTTAAAGAAATGCCTTCCCAAGAAAATGGAGTAGGAAATAGTCCTGGATCCTGGAGCCCTAAAACAGGCTACCAGGCACTGCTTCATGTGTAAATATCTTTTACCTGAGGAATGCGGTGATGTGCAAGCCATGGTTAACTGTGTGTGTGTGTGCTTGGGAAAGAATGCTATGAGTGTAAAAAGGAAATCTTTCTTCTGGAGATAGGATGGGGGAAGAGAAAAGGGAAGGGAAAATGAATGTGAGGTAGGGAGAGCAGGAGAAAAGGAAGATGGAGAGGGGAGAGGAGGAGAGAAAACCTGACACTTGACCTAATCCAGGCTGTTCACTGATAAGCAGGTGGTCACCATGGCCAGAGACTCCTGATACTAGTGGAAGATCTTTCATAATGGCCCAGTTTCCTGGGAACATCCATGTGATGCTCTACACGGTATGGATGTATCCCCACTTCCCACCTCACCCTATTATTTTAGGGGATAATCTTTCTCACTCAGACACCGCAGCTGCATCCTGACTGGTTCTCATGACACTTTGTAGGTTACTGCCACAGCAGTTGGTGGGTGGTGACTGCCTCAGCTGGCCTCTGCTCTGCTTACACACCAGTTACATGCATGACCTGGCTCCTTCCCACTGAATACTACCAGCTCTTTTCTGGCCCCACATCCCCTGATCCACCTTTATTACCTAAATCACACCCAATAGTCTAGTATGCTGCACAGATAAGTAGGATTTGGGTTTCAACTTCTTCCTAATAAGGGAGTTTTGGGAAGAGCCACACCCAGAGTAGAGGAAACACCCTGTGTTGGAAATCGGCAGGAGGAAGAACTTACCACCTGCAAATTACAGTCCAGGTGAGGCTGGCCAAACCACCGATGAGGAGAGCGCCAAGTGCTATGGAGACCCAGGATGCCCGAGGAAGCCTGCCAGAATCTGTACAGGAGGACACAGATCAGCAGATCTGACCAGCATGACCACAGATCCCTACCTGGCTTGCTCCTAGCACAACTCATGGTGGGAAAGCTTTTCAGAGAACATGCCCTTCCCTGAGTGAATTGAAGGTGAGGGGAGATGGCAGGGACTGGCCCTTTAACTGGGCTCAGGTCTAGTGACTGCCACAGTTCCAGAGCTGGGATGGAGATTTTCTCCCTTTCTTAACTAGGATGATTTCCTCAGTGAGCTTCTTAAAGCCTGTAAAGGACTCAGCTGAGACAGGCCAGTGGGCACACAGAAGCTGCACCTGGGGAACATGGACACTGCTGGGAGTGTCTTCACATGCACTTTGGGATTTGCAAAGATTGTGAGATTCAGCCGGGGTCCAGGAAGGCGGGCGGTAGCCCTGTGACGGGATCCAGGGACAGGTGCCAAATTTCCAAGTGATCTTTCCCACATAGAGATAAATTAAACCACTCACTGAAAATGAGAAAGCAAAGGGCAGAGCCCTCGAACTCCTCTAGACAGGGGCCTGCAGCATCTGATCCCAGGGTCTGAGCAGGTGCTGCCAAGTTCCTAACCTAGTGACTTCCTGCAAGGAGCTGTCTGTCTGTTCAAAATCCCTGCTACCAAAACCTTGCTGTGGACTCTCCCCTCAGCCGCCTGTCACCGGCTCCCTGGAATTGTTAGAAATCACCCAGCAGAAGTTTTAAGGGACACTCACTGTGAAATGTGCCACACCCCAAAGTTATGAGGACTAGTTCCAGCACGAGGCTGCAGGCGCTGGGTCACTGCTGACTAGGGGTGATTCGGAGTGAGAGAGGAAGCAGTTGAGGCCTTCTAGAATAGACTGGCTTTCCAACTGGGTCCTGCCTCTGAGCTGTTCTCTCTCTAGGTTCTAAAAAGCTCCCAGGGTTTAGAAGCTGGGACACTACTGTTTCCTAAAGTTGCCCCCTGGGGCATAGATTTGACAGCGTTCTAATGACAAGCTATTTAGATGGACTCCACATTCTACATGGCTTCTTTCTTAGGCACGGTATCAACACATCCCTATCCTTCCCCAGTGTGGACTTGGGGTCCTGTTAGGCCACCTACTGTGCCATTGCCTGCACATCACTGTAGAATCTCAGGACTTGACTTGTGCACCTGAGCTCCAAGCACAGCTCCATGAGTCCTCTGTGCAGTGTGTGAAACCTGCACCTATTTGCCGCTCTGGAATGGCCTGAACATCAATTTCAGCCCTGGTTAAGACCTTCAAGGTTAATGGCCCCTAACAAGGGCCATTGTCCATTTTGCATGGTTCTGGAGCATGTGCTCTTTGGTGATAGCACATCGAATGAGGAAATTTTGTCCTCAACACTTCTCTGGCTTTCAGTGAGAGGATTCCATTCATAGAGGAATTCTGAAGATGACCTGGGCCAAGCATTTGAATTGCAGACAGGTGCCCTTTCGCTGACTGACAGCATCAGGAATTTTAGTCTTGGCCCTTGGAGCTTTCTCGTGGGCTGAAACAAGGTTAGTGATGTTTCTGGGCCTACAGGGAATTAAGATGCTGACTTCTGTGCCCTCATGGTTCACGTTGGTAGGTTTCTTTCTGAATTAGCTTTCTTGACTTTACAACTGTAAATGCAGACAGAAGTGGCCTCAGATTCTGCTCTACACATTCTGTAGCATGATTTGCATCTAAAGGGTGTTTCAGACACGCTCCTGAGAGCTGTTAGGGGACCGTTCCGTGAATTTCTCCAGGATCTCATTGTCCACTTGCCACTAGGCAGGGTGAGCCTCAGGTTGGTGCTTGGGAAGATTTGGGCACCCTCTAGGAACATACCTGATGTCTGAGGACCTCAAAGACAGCATCGTTCTTATTTCAAAGAAACCAGCCAACAGAGACGACAAGGAAGCTACTTACCTACACAGGTCTTCTCATCCTCACCCAGCACGTAGGGGTCTGTGCACACACACTGGAAGCTCCCCTTGGTGTTCTTGCACTTTGCAGAGGGGTGGCAAGGTGGGTGTGTCAGATCTACACACTCATTAACATCTGCAGGAATAGTGCACAGTCAGTAGTAGGTAAAAAAGAGCCCACAATCTCAACTCCTTATAGCAGGCCCTCCTTTTCCAGGCCAGCTCCCACCTAGGTCCACCGTGGGTATCAAGAACATCAATGTCACGGCCTTGCCGTTTTCCCAGGTGTTTGGCCACCTCATTTTTGCTGTGTTTGAGGTGAAGTACCTGCAGAGCACCTCAGTCCTGGATCTGTGGCCAGGCCTGTCTCAGCAGCTCCTGTGGCTCACAGTCTACCTATGTCCTTGCTTGGGTTGCCATTCATGCCTCCACGTAGCCCCCGCTGCCTTTTCCACATGAGTACGAGTCACTGACCATAAGGGCCAAACTTGCCTTTTCTGCCTCACTGTGTGCAGACTGTTACTGTAGAATCAGCTCTGCCACAGTGTGTGGGGCATACCATGCTTGTGAAAGGTAATGTATGACAGACAGATACCACGGCCTTCTCCTCTTCTCAGTGCACCTTGGGGAGCTTATTCTTAATTTTGCTGTATGCATTTATGTGTCTGTGTGTGTATGCTACAAGGAATCGCCACAAGCTGAGTGCTTTAGAACCTTGTTCCCTTTTTGTTCTGGAGACCAGAAGCTTAATGAAGGTCCCAAGGCCTTTACAATGTTCCCCCAAAGGCTCTTCCTTTCCTTTGTCCAGAAAAACTCTGGACAGCCTCTTGTAGACTCATTGTTGTATTCTTCAGTCCTGTCCAAAATGTCCTGCCTCTGTGTTTTCTCTTGCATGGACACTAGAATCTGTGTGAAGGCCACCTGGAAGCATCTGTAAAGATTTTATTTTTAAGTAGGGTTGCATCCTGAGATACTGAGGCTTAGGACTTGGGGACAACAGTCAACCTCAGACTAACACATTTTGTTTATTCTAAAGAGGAGTCACTCTAGGAGCTAGTGAATTTGGGATCATATACATTCTGGGTTTTCTTGCAGAGGATTAATCCTGAGCTGGGTACTACAAGCTCATCCTGAGTGGAGACCTGTGCTTCCCACAAAGGAGAAGAGAAAATCCATTGAGGTTGGCCAGTTCATAAGAACTCTAGTACAAACTACATGGAAGACCAAGGTGCTGTGTCTGACAAGATTCTGATATTTGCCAAGAGCAGTAGAAGGTATCCTCAGATCACCATGAAAGTATCTTCACAGATCTACCTATCCCTGAAAGCAGACATAGAAATAGATGCATGCATTTCTTATACACATGCTGTGTAACAATTGTGAAAAGCCACAGACAGGCAGCTTCTATCTGTTGGAATCCACAGCTTAAACAGGACTCAATCACACACACTTGGATTTTCCCATCAGTTTTACATGGATGGTGTATTAGTTACTTTTTCATTGCTGTGATGAAACACCATAACCAATAACACCACACCTCATGAGCCTCCCCAAACAGTGAAACCAACTGGGGACCAAGTACGTGAATGCCCAAGACTATGGGAGCCATCTCACTTAAACTACCACATTCCACTCCTGGACCCTATAGGCTCATGGCCATATCATAATGTGGAAAACATTTAGTCCAACTCCAAAAGTCTCCATAGTCTTTGAGTGTTAACATGGTTTAAAAGTCCAAAGTCTGTTTCTCTTCTGAGACTTAAGGCAATCTCTTACATGTAACCCCTGTAAACTCAAAAAGCAAATTGCATACTTCCAATCCACAATGGCACAGAATATGCACTGCCATTCCAAAAGGGAGGAATGGGAGTATAATGAGAAAAAAAAAATCAACATGGAAAATACCAAATCCTGTAGTTTCATGTTTAATGTCAAAAGGCTTAGCCAGATCTGCCCTTCCTACTTTGCTGTCTGCAAGATCTCTCCACCCACCCCGTCTCTCTGGCCCTTTCCACTACCTGTGTTCAGGTCTCCTTGGCAGATACTCCAAGGCTTTGACGTCTGAAACATCTTGTGTCTCCACTGAACACATAGGCTTCATTTTCAGAGCTTCATGCAATGGCCTCTCAGGGCCTCTTGCTCAGGACCTTCAAAGCAGAGACTCCCCTGCCACACAGTGTCTGGCCTCAGTGGCTCTCTGAGACTGTAGAAGAAGATTCCATGACCTCTCTACTCTCACATCATTCCCAACTATAAAGTTAGTACCATGTGGATGACATACTGCTAAGTTATGCTCCCAGCCTGGGGTGGACTGTGGACCCCCTGAGTCACATATGTAGCACCATTTTTTTGTTATTCCTTCCTAGGCCTCTTCCTTCCACAACTCTTCCCTTTATTCCACTGCAGATCAGGCCTCTCTTTTATCTTCTAATCTCCTTCATCACAAGCCTGGGTTGCAACATTAAGTTTCCTGGTGTTCTTTATCTCTTTAAACTATTTTGCATTTCTTTTCGTCCTACTTGCTCATTTTCATTGTAGACATGCATATGAGTGATTACTAACAAACATTTGATAGAGTCAATATTAGGATATCTTAAAAATCTTTAACAAATAATTAAACTATTACCTTTAAAATTACCCCCAGGCAAATTCTTAGGACAAAGGCAGAAAATAGCCCCACTTTTACCAAAAATCTCACAAAAATAATGCTCTCTAACCCTGTTGCTAATATTGTTCTCTTCTAGAATCTCTTGAGATGGTCTTCCACAGCCCACAAAGCTCTTATCACTCTTATCTAAAACTATACTAGTAGAAAGGTCATTAAACTCCCCTGCAGCATTCAGCCACTTTTCTGGTCCAAAGTTCCAAAGTCTTCCACATTCCTTCAGAAACCAGTACGAGCAAGCAGGTCTTGCCCAGAAATAGCACACTCGCTAGTACTAACATCTGTATTCATTACTTTTATATTACTGTGATAAAATACTATCATCAAGGTAACTTGAAGAAAGAAGGGTAGAAATGTGTAGCAGCAAGTATGCATGGCAGCTGGAACAGCTGAGAACTCACTTCTTGAACCACAAGCACTAGAGAATAAAATTAAAATGGCATACGACTTTGCGAAGTCTGTCCCTAAGTGACACACTTCCTCCACCCAAGCCACATCTTTTAAGCCTCCCCAAGCCTCATTTACTGGGAACCAAGCATTCAAATTCCTGAGACTATAGGTTTTAACTCATTCAAACCATCACAGATGGATTTTAGTGGCTAAATGGGACTTGAAAAGAGAAGAGAAAAATGATCTCTTTGGATTTTCTATGCCAAATAGTTAAGGTTGTAGCTCTTCTTTCTAGACCACAAAATATCTCTATCATTCTCTAAAGGCTTGCTTTATTTCCTTGTAATTTTTCCTTTGGATAGATGTAGTTAGAGGTAAGACTTAGTGAAGACACCTGTCTGAATAAACACATCTGCACCTACAATGTCTTCTCAATGCACCTCTGTGATTTGCATGTTTTAAGAATATTAGAAAAACAATAAGGCAGAAAACATGGATTTGTATTCGTAAAACTAATAATCTCTCTTCTTTCCTTCTTCCCATCCTGCTCTGCAGAGACACCTGCAGTTTTAAGGTCTCAGTCCTGTCATGCTCTCTGCAAGCTCATGAAGTCCTTTCTCTGTGCATCACATGCAAACAGGTGCCATTTCTTCCAAGCAAATAAGAATATATTCTCACCAGACATGCCGCTCTGTCACTTGCGTTTTTGTCTAGCGGTGTATCTTAAGTGAACTTGATTCTGCAGTACTAGCAGACACTCTTTCATGTACTCAGCATGGTATTTCATGGTGGGCACACATTCACCATGAAAAGGGCACTAGGCCTTTTTATTCATGTTGTACACTCACCAATCAATTTAAATAGACAGCCAGTGAGCTGGATCCCATGGCCACTCTCACCGTAGTTTTGAAGAGTTGGAGGCAGGAGTGAATTGAGTGACCTCAAGGGGCAGAGGATTTAGCTGCTGAAAGAGCTGTTCTGGTGTGGAGCTGCTGAGTTACTGCCCTGAGGAAAGAGGTCACAGTTGGTGCTGCTCAGTGGGTGCCTCACCCTTAGCACACTTGGCTTTGCAGTGTCTCAGAGACAATGCCAATTTCATCTCAGAACTGTTGGCTCTGGAATGCTGCTTGTCTGAGAAGCAGATGTTGGATGTTGTATCTTCTGGTCACAGGGTCTACACTATGAGCTCATTTGCTGCATGTAGAAGCCATGCCACCTGACACTCCTACCATTAGGAGCACCTGGGCAGCTCAGAAATTAAGCCAATTGGTTACTAAGTCCTTGGTACCTGACTACTCTATGATTTCCTAAACTTTATGGATCCAAGAATCATTGAAGGGAAAAGTCAGGATAAAAACAGCTGATGGGGGTAGGCTGGGGACAAAAAAAAATGATTTCTATGATATAAAATTTTGAAGTAGATGGAAGAATGTGCTACTGTTAAGAGTTCATCAGAAAGGAGCCCTATGAACTGTTATGTCAGCTCAGATTCAGTTAGGCAGTGGTCCACTCAAGCAGACTGAGGACAGGTGGAATTTCCTTTTGCTAAGCTTTCCTTTGTAGTCATAAGTCCTAAAGCAAGTAGACTGGATGAGTATGTAGAAGTTCAGGTTTTTAGAAAAAAAAAAAGAAATAAGGTGTTCAGGCTAAGAGTATACTCTGCCAGGGCTGGTCAGCCATAGAACATCACTGTGCCAAAGCCTGAGGGTCAGACCCCAGGGAGACAATGCCAGCAGGGAGAATCAGCAATCCTAGTCAAGTGAGCATTTCTTGTTTCTGTAGTTGCTAAGCCAAAAGAGCATGAAAGCGTCCAGGTTTGTCATGATGTTAATGGAGATTAACTATGGAATGAGATTAAGTCAGAGTGATCAAAGCAGCAGTTGTTAGAAACAACACATGCACACAGACGTTGCCACATCATAGAACATCTGGGTTTCTTCTGTCACTCTTTCCGCAGACATTCTGTCTTCTGGCAGAGAATTTTTGATGGTGTTCCCAGTGATAAAATCCTTGGCCTTGCTTCTCTAGCTCACTGTTGCTCCTGATTAGTCCCCAAATAGAGTTGGGGGAGTTTGTCAGCTCTGGGGCTTCACAGTACATACTCTACTGATACAAATTTGGGAGAGAAGAACTATTGGTTTATATCCAAGTTTCTAGCCCAGATTGGTGTTTTCTTGTAGTAGCTTCCATCTCTTACCTGGTGGGCTCCGGACCCATTGATTTCTGGGCAGCCCACCTTGCTGACTGTCAGTTTCCTAATTCTGCCTCCTTTCTCCCTTGTCCTGCTCTTAGACAACAGTCCCACACTGGGCTAACTCGACACGGCTATCTGCCATGGTGTGCAGAACACAGGAGTCCGCCATGGCCAAGGCTGAGACTTGGCCCTCCGCCTCTTTGCTACTCAGGGTTTAGAAGTGATGAGCACTGCAAGCCTTCAAGAACAAAACAATGTGGATTTCAAAGTTGAAACGAAATGCTCATCCCTGTGGCAAAGGAGATATAAGCTAGAGCTCGCCCTCAGACACTGGCCGTGGGAAGCTCAGAGGTGTCTGGCACATTCACAGAGCTCTGCAGAGTCACACCACCTTTCCACAGCTCTTAAAAAAAGGAAAAAAAAAACTTTGGATTTTTATCTCAGCCCACCAAGTAGCCAAGTTCTTTCATGATGTCATCTCTGCATTCGGAGACTTTGCTAAATGTATCCCACAGCACAAGGAAGGCTGGTGCTGGCAGTCACTCCTTCCATGGGACCACTTGGTATGTAGGGTCTGGCTTCCATCCAGCAGTCTCTCGGTCATGTGACTGATGAACACTGAGAAATATATCTCTTTAAAAGCAGGCCTCCCGTGTCTTCCCACAGAGCTCCCTACCCCTTGCAGAAGGATTACTCGCAGGAGGCACATCTTCAGGAAGACAGAAGGTACTAGCTAATGTACCAGTAAGTATTGCTGGCAAGGAACTAGAGCCCAGGGGCAGCCTTTCTCACAGACTTGTCTCTCTGTAGACAAAACCTCGGACTCTGGCTGACACTCCTGCAAAGTTTCCGAGCATCTTGGGGGCGATCCCTACTCATCACACTCCCAAGGGAGAAGTGGGTGGAAGGAATCCAGGGAAGTCCTTACAGCAGGACCTGAGAGCACCCGTTTCCTTCTGCTCTCCCATTACTGTGCATGAGAAGGACTGAGACGTGATTCCCTGAGCCCGAGGAGGCCAAGGACTCAGCTGGGAAGGGATGATAGTTGTGGGTCTTCCTATGGGTGCCTGGAGTGAGAACCTTCTGTCATTTCATCTGGGTAATGGACTCTGTATGTTCTTTTCTTAGCCTTGTTTAGAATTGGCTCATTTTCTTTTCTCCTTGCCTAAATCACCACGAGGCCAGATTTGATGTGAGTGTTGTTTTGCCATCTGGGGACAGCAAAGAAGTATGGCTAATAGAGGGATATTCTTCTCCCTCTATACCAGAACAGCTCTTAGAATACACCTGTGCTCAGAACAATATTTTGGTGAAGGATGTCCACTGGGAAACAGATTGTTTTGTAATCGCCATTAACCTCCACCCCATATGACACCACTGACCTTTACAGACAGGAGGCTCTAAGTCCCAGCCATTCTGGGTGCATGTGACCTGCTCCTGGCCTTGCAGCTTGTATCCATGGAGACAGGAATACACGAGTACTAGCTTCCCAGACTCTTCACAGTGCACAAAGTTCCCATTGTCCACCTTGTCTGGGAAGGCACACTTGTCATCTGTGGAATGTTGAAGGTCAAAATGCAGTGAAACCACAAGAAAGAAAAACTCTAGAACATCAGACCTGCTGTGGGCTGAGCTGCACCTCTTAACTATAACTTTATGCTACAGTGTGTGTGTATATGTGTGTGTGTGTGTGCGCGTGCAGCACCACATTTGGAGACAGAGGCTGCAGAGAGGTTCCCTCGGTCATTTCTTGGCCTGGGATGGAAGTGGTTAATAGGTTTGTATGTGTATCTCTCTCCATAGGCATGTGCAGTATGCATCTCTGTTTCTTTTGGCAAATAGGTCCCAGGTCCTGGAGAATTGCCTGCCATGTAGCTAATTCGTCATCTCCCACTTGAAGCCAAGTCTTACATGGCACAAAGCTGATGTCATAGTGAATGAAAGAGTAAACACTTTGTGTGGTTGAGAAAATACTTCAGTGGGTAAAACGCTTGCTATGCAAGTGTGAGGCTCAGAATCTGGACACCCAGAGCCCATATAAATTTTGTCTGGGTATGGCAGTCTGACCTTAATCCCAGCACACAAGAGGCAAAGACAAAGAATTCCCAGAGCAATCTGGCTAGCCAAACCAACAAGTTCTAGGGTCAGTGGGAGAGACTGCCTCAGTAAAGGAAGGTGAAGACAGATGAAGAACACTCAATCTCAAGTTCAGGCCTCCAGATGGATGCGTACAAAAGTGTGTACCAAAGACATGAATACATACAACATCCACACACCACACACATACATATACAAACATAGAAAAATGATGTCTTGTGTCAATGGTAAATCATAAGATATGTCTGTCCTAAGCATGTACAGAATTAAAACCAAGGTGAGAACATTGACTCTGCCAATTAAATCTCAGAAATCTGTAGGTCTCCGCTCTTTCATCTTTTCTATATAGCCAAATGTCAGGTACTACCTGCTCTAAAGTGAGCACTCATATGCTGCTTCTCAGCTAGGAGGACTGAGCCAGCAGGGTTCCAGGAGGCTCTTTACTCATCCATGGTGGCCAGAACTCATAAGCACAGAGCCCATGGCAGAGGAGGACAACGGGGTGTGGCTGGTGCCAAGGCCCAGGAGCTGCTAAGCACAGTGTGTGAACCTGGATGGGTCATGGGTCTGTCAACTGTTGCAGATCTCTGACCTGATTCTTAGTGCTCATTGGGATGCTACCATTCTACAGGAGAAGATGGGGCTCTGGTCTCACCAGTACTTACTCAGCAGCACAGGTTTAAAATCGGCCTCTTTGAGAGGTTACAGTGACTTTAGTAACAAGAGGCTCAAAGTCACCTTGTGGAGAGGTCTCCTTCCATACTTTGAGGTTCATGCTAGGGATGTCCTCACAAAGCTCAAAGTCCTGGGGGAATTTTCCAGTACGGAAGGCATCCACGGGTACCCTGGTAAGGCCAGTGTTGTCACAGATGACCCGAGGTAGTGAATGCTTTTCCAGTTCCTGTCTTTGAGCGTCTGTGAAGACGTGACTGTTCTCCCACCAAAACCTGCACAGGAGAAGGCATGTGAGTCAGGGGTGGGATGTTCTGCTACTTCTGTTTCCTCATGTACTAAACATGCCTATGGAGAAGCCTGTCAAAGGGTTGCCACAGCACCCAGGGCCTGTGAGAATCAGGCATTGTGGACATGAGGAAGAAATAAAAGGGATGGGCCAAATAGAGGACAGTGTGAGCTGACTGACTTATAAAGAAATGGCTATTCTGAGACTGTATGGGTGCACCCTGCCTCAGAAACAAGTGTGGCAACAGCCAAGTCATTCACAGGAAGAGGTGCTATTCATCCCAAGGTCCAAGTGTTGTTCTTGTCCCTACCTGCAGGCTGTGGTCAGCAGTGAGAAAGAAAATGTTAGTTCTCCTCAGACTATCAGTGCTGTAGACAAAGCTCCAGTTTTCCACAGCCCTTTATCATGTAAAGAATGTCTCTATTTCTACTTGGGAACACATTCCTTTAGAATGTGAGAAGGACATGAGATCTGCAAAAGTACCACAGATGTACTTGGGCAGCATGAGAAGGAGTCTCCTGTATATTAGTTGGTTGATTGAAATCCTGTTTTTTTTTTTTTTTTTTTTGGAGATGCCCAGCCATAAACACTAGAGTGAAAAACCACATCACCACTTCGGCATCTGCTAGAGGCTCCTGGACTTTGCCATTGAACCTGACCCAAAAGCCATGTCATACTCAGGGGAATCCAGAAAATGACCTCTTTCCCAAGTTTGTGTCTTCTTGTGTCCCAATTATGTCAAGGCACATGCTTTTTCTAAAGACAGTTTCAGTGGAGATTAAAACTTCCAGGATGTCATCCAGGTGTCTTAATTGTGTGAAATGCCATATCCCAAAAAACAATGGCAACTTTTCTAGAAAAGGTCATGAAAGAATTCCAAGGCTGAGGCTAAACACTGAGATATGTTTGAAAAGCATTTTGATGGAGATAGAGGGATAGATGGAGGGAGTCAGGCAGAGGGAAAATCTAGTATGCGGGAACCATTAAAAAAAAAAAAAACAAAAACAAAGAAAAGCTTCTTTGAATTTTTTTTCTTTATGGTTCCATAATTATAATGTTTCATGCTTTACATTCCCCTGATCATCTGGTGTCAGATCATGAGATGGACAGATAATACTCCTGGTTTCCTAACCCCTCTAGGTGTATAAAGTTCAACATTCTAGGCTGAAAAGGAGGAAGGAGCAAGTGCTGGGGCAGGCAGGAGCCTCAGCCAACTGTGTGGGGCTGGAGGTGGAGGTGTGGTGGGAGATGGGAGTGAGTCAGTTCAGCTGAAGACCTCTCCTGGGCACCAGCAGGGGTCCACATCTGTGTCAAGGTCGGCCCATCTGTCCAGTGTCAACAGTGTCAGTGAACGGCCAAAGACGGAAGCTGTACATTGTTGCTGAGTTTCGTTACGTGCCTTCTCATCCACATGACTAGAAACATCGGAAAACAATAGTCATGTTTCTAAGTGAACAGAATATTTTATGTCTTGTGGTCCTTTTGCTTGGTGACAATGTTTTTATTGTCAAGGATGTTGCCTGAGAGGAAACCTGCCCACGTGAACACTTGAGCCCAGGTCTAGCTGCTGCATACAAGCCTGATATGGAGCATTGGGATATGCCCAGAGTGCTTTGCCACAGGTACTTACCTGTCCCCATCCCTCAGGGCCCTCATCTGCTTCCCAATGATACAGGCAAATAGAGGGCCAGTGCGGGCCCCCAGCAAGAACTTCTCAGCCAGGCCTCCCAACCAGACGTCTATGTTGTCTGTGTGCTTGTACAAGTCCATTATCTTGTTGGCTATGCTTTTGTTGGCGATGGCCTTGTTCAGCTCAGCTGATGTCTCCAGGCGGGACAAGCCACAGAACTCTCTCCACTCGTTGTAGCCTGCACAAGAAGCAGAGGACGGGTCTGGCTATAGGGGGGGCGCTTGAGTTTCATCAGTCCACCCACAGACTGTGCTGACCCCTGGAAGCCAGGGTTACAGAGACACAGCCCCATCTGCTGGTCCCTGCTGGAGCGTGGCCATTTACCTGTGGCATGGAATTCAGCCCTATGGAGCACAGACCATACAGCGCAGACCTGAGGCTCTTGTAAGGACTGTATTTTGGGGTGAATTGGTATTAGAAAGGGGGCTGAGTTGAGACACATCAGTGTCTCAGATTTATCCTGTCACTGGATCAGTCTTCTTCTACTGAGTTATGGTGACAGGTTACACACACCCTCTTTGGAGCTGTTGATGCTCCAGAAGGACACTGGGAACGCATGGAGAACAAGAGCACACCAGGACACACACATGCAATTATGTGCACAGCAATTATTCATACACTCTGCCACCTCTCAAGCAAACATACCCATATTCAAACATACAGACACTCACTTATATACACAAACTCATAAACACAGACACACTGTTTTATACACACTCTCACAGACATACTCTCTTTAATACACATGCACCCTCAAGACACTCTTATAAACATACTCACCCATAGACACATACTCTCACATACATACACACTCTTATACACACACACATGCTCTCTTATACAGATAAACTCATATATACACTTTCTCTCATACACACATACAGACACACCCTCTTATAAACATATACACACACAAAACATATACATTCTTATACACACAATCATAATACACACTCACAGACTCATACTTTATTTTACACACACACACATTCTCTTATAAACACAAATACACACTCTCTTACACAGACACACTCACAGAAACACTCTATCTTACACACACACACACACACACACACACACACACACACACGGAATACTCATATGCAGATGTCTGTCTTCCCTTGTCTGACTGTCTCTAACACTGCAGACTGTCTATCTACTTCAGGGTGGTTTCAGCGTTGCTGGGAAAGCCCAGTCCTGGCCCCACGGGCTCAGCATTTCTCACTGCTCCTTGTGCAGTACTCTGGCTTTGCGGGGCTGCTTTCTCCACCTGACACATGTACAGCGCATTACAGTACCCTTACAATACCCTCCTGCAGGATGTCTTTGGCCTCATCTGCACTTCCTCCAGAAGTCTCTCTTCCTTCTGACAGTGATGGGAAGTGCCAGGCACAGTCTGCTGTGGGACTCTATTCTGAGGTCTCCACAGAGGTGACAAGGCATTAATGGGATAAAAGCTTTGGGGACTCCCATGTGACACCCTCCCCATGTGTGACAGAGCAGAATCTGAAGAAGTGATCACGCATTTTCCGGGAGGTCTGAGAAGGGATGCTGGAGTGCTAAGAGCCCCGCTGAGCCAGTGAATGGGGGTGGGAGCATCTAGCTACAGGGAACAACACAGAGGCAGCAGATTACAGTAAATAAAAGCCAAAGCGAAGAAAAATCACCAGTGAGATTTAAAATCTGTGATTTAGAATGCTGCCATCCAATTGTATTGATGGCAGCTTGATGATAGAAGCTCCTTGCATTCTGATTCAGGAGAAGCCCGTGTCTGTTTAATGTAGCTGTGTGTTTGATGTTTGTGTGTGTCTGTACGTATGTGTGTTTGTGCACCTGTCTGTATTTATATTTGGTGCATCCAAGCATCATACCACGTTTTCCCAGAGCCATGGCTCCTGAGCTTCCTGGTCACAAGACTGTTCAGCTTCAACTCAGTGTCTGCTGTGCACAGCTGGACCTGGCGAGTGGTAGCTCATTGGGAAGTTCCCTCTTTGTTCTCTAATTCCAGATGGGTCACCTCAGTCATCTCTCTCAGGAGCCATCTAGCAAGATGACAGCTCTCTCCTTTCCTGTCTCCCCTGTTCTGACAAGTCCCATAGCATTTTGACTCCATCCCAGACCACTTTAGGACAGACCCTCAGAGAAACAATAATCTCGTGAGAAGCGACATAAAATCAGTGAACCTTATTTATATATCTTAAAAAGACATGTATTCCTGCTGCTTGCCATGGAGGTTGGGAGTATAGCAGTTATTTCATTATATATCCAATTGAAGGATCATTTACTTTCAGGATAACTGGAGCATAAAGAGTGAATGGATTACACTCAAAAGTTGGGAGAGAGATTTCTCAGGGGCCATAAGCAGCAGATACACCCTTCCACAGCTCATAGAAGCAAGAGCTTAGGGTAGGACCTGAGCAGAAGGGGCGGGGCCTTCCGACACATGCAGAAGGAGGGACCCATTCTGTAACTTCCCAGGATATACTTGCTCTCCAAATCCAAGCTGCTACACTCCTTTGGAAGGCTGCAGTGAGGGCATGATGACACCAACTGCACCCTGAGGTCAGAGCTTCAGAACAGCAGCCAAGCAGCAGAAAAGCAGCTGCACCTTTTCTGACGCACATACATCAGGCAGAGGTCACTGGGTTAGACAAGGCATCAGTGTGGAAGTTCCTGGGGACCTTGGTGCTCCACACTGAGGACTCCATCATGGTGCTGAGAGAGACTCTGCAGTCCTGCAGCTAGATGTCCTTCACAGACTGGGACTTGCCCCCAGGAGATACAAGAAAACACAACAGAAAAGATATCTCAAGTGCAACTTGCAAACAGAGACACAGGCTCTTTTGTTGAGCTTGCATGGGGTAGAGGGTGTCTGTCTACACACACAGGTATGTAGTTAGCTACAGGCCTGGCACATACCTATAATCCCAGTTGCTTGGGAGGCTGAAGCTGAAGGATCATGAGTTTGGAGCTAGCCTGAACTACACAGCAAAACATCATCTAAAAAACACAGAAGCCAGCCAAACAACCAATCCAACAAACACAACACACAAGTCAGAAGTGTAATAGATTCGTGGGTGTATTTCGCTTCACACCGGACGGTGACCCAGAAAGTCCTTCCTTCCGGACATACTGAAGTATACCATCTAGAGCCCTGACAGACCTGGTAAGCCATGGTCTCGGCCTCTCTGTAAGTTTAGTGATGCCAGATCCAAGGTGCCCGCATTAGACAGCACAAAGAGCCTCTCAGTCAACTCCTCATTCATCAGCTGCTCCTGTACCTGCAGCTTGGCTGGTCTTGCCAGGAGGCCTCTCACTATTGGATCCAAACCACCTGAAAAACATCACACACAAATCAGAGAGGTCTCTAGGTCCTTGCTGAGTTCTGGAGACAAGAGACAGGTTCTCAGTTACAGCACGTGCTCATTTGTAAACATCAGCGCACCTTCACCAAATGACCATATGCAAGCCCAGAGCTTTCTAGGTTTCCATTACCGGCAACCGGGTGCTGAGGACGCACCTTCAGCTCCTCAGGGACCAGAAATAAGCAGGGTCATGCTACTCAGATTTGTCATTATTTATTTTCCAGCAGCAGAATGTTGAGAGTCAAAGGAAATATTCACTGGCCTCCACTGTCCAGAGCAGAGAGACAGTTTGTCTGGTGTAGCAAACTCTCAGTTTCTCAAGGACTTTGCTCTGTCCCCCACTGAACCCTGGGTCATCCCCACAGAAGGCCTCAAAGGAAGCAAACCAAATATTTCTCAGGTTTTACCCACCTTAGCTGCATGAATCCAGAGATACATGAATAGTATCTACTGAGAGGCCAGTGGGCTTAGGTTTCCCTACCTCCACCCCACGGCAAATGTGTAGTACATGTGAACTGGGTAGAGTGACTCGGAAAGACCCCAAACCTCTCCCCTCATGCTCTGCATGAAAGCAACCTGATAATCCATGAGGGAGCATACTGTCGGCTGCCATCATCTCCAACCTGTCCCTGCAGCTACCTTTTAGACAGCTAGAAGTTAATCAGAGGGACAGGAAGAACATGGGGGGGGGCGATAAATAAAAAGAAAGACATGGAGACACATAAAAACCACCCTTCAGAGCAGAAATGGAGAGCTACACTTTTGTTAATTCCAGCAGCCTGTAGCTCACGGGCTGTCTCACCAGAGAACAGATGTAGCGCTTAATGATTAAGCAATGACAGCACTATCTATAAGGTGTCTCTAGGCATTGTCTCTCTTTCTACCAACACAAAGAAAGCTCACTGTACCTGGATAAGCTCTTCTGAGCACTGAAGAGCTCCAGGTATGAGTCATGGCATTTCTCGCAAACATTTTACCTTTTTAAAAACTTTGAACACTGGACTGGGGGAATGGCTCAGTCAGTAAAGTGTCTTTCAAGGCAAGCACAAAAGCTCAAGTTTGCTCCTTAGAAGCCAGGAGAATTCTGGGTAGAGAGTGACGGTGTGTGTTTGTAATTCTGGTGTTGGGGAGTCAAACACAGGAATTCCTGTGGCTTGCTGTTCAGCCATAGGAACTTCAGGCCAATGTAAGACCTTTTCTCAAAGGAAGTGAATTGCTTTCCTAAGGATGACATCTGAGGTTGTTCTTCAGCCTCTGTTTGTACACACATGCACCTGAACACACAGAAACACGCATGCATACATGCATATGGGGAAAAGGTTTTGAATATACTTATCCTCTCTAAATACTGACACATTACATAGCATTAGCTTAATCAACCAGCATGGAAGGTGAAGGCTCATGCTGGACTACCTAGGCCTGTGCTCAGCTGTAGGTTTAAGTCAGGAGGAGGGGCATACCTTCCTGGATAAGCCTCCAGGGCCTGAAGAAGACATCATGCAGCTGCAGCCTGGGGAGGTCTTTGTGGTCCTGGAAGTCAGTGTTTAGCCGTCTCACCAGTGGATGAACTGTGGCGTGGCCAAAACGGAAGGCAGCAGTAGAGAAGATGTTGGACACAGTAGGGTTCACAGTGGGGTCATAGCCTTCATATGGGCCCACATACTGCCTGAAGGCATCAGGACCCAGGATCTTGGGGATATAATCCCTCATGGTGATGATCTATAAAGAAGGAGATAAGATATTTCTTAGAGCAGGGAAAGTTTTCAGCAAAGCTCAGGAATGCCTGCAGGACACCTGAACATTAAAGATTAAGCAATAGGGAGCAATTTTGCCTGGGAAGCCTTATGATAGAACATCATAGGATTGGTGAGTCTCCCAGAGGAGGATGCAGCCCACAGATGCAGGGAGAGATATGGAGAGGACCAGCCCATCCCACAGGGATGTTAAAAAAAAAAGTAGAGAAGAGAGAGAAGAGACACTAGATTGAGGAGGATAACACAGAAATCTGAGAGTATCTTTCCTGTTCATTGAGACTGCTATCACTTCCCCATTGAGAATAAGTCACTGGATAATTAATGTTCAGGTCAACCAAGATCTTCAGATATGCAGAATGAAACCCTCTATTCTACAACTATTGGGCTTATGTAAGAATATACCCAATGACTCACACCTCAAATATCGTAGAACTTTACTAAGGAGAAACATGGAAGCAGGGCCTTCACCCATCATGGCATTTTTGTACATGTGAATGATCAGTTGTAGACCTGTGTGCAGAGGCCCCTTGGCCCTTCCTTGCATGACTGGACAGCCCTCATTTAGACAGTATGAACTCCAAAGGAGGCAGCAGGGAAAGAGACTCCTCGCATAATTCCTGGGACTTGACCTCTGTAGTAACTCAATGCATATTCATGAGGCACCTATACTTGCCAGCACCTGCTAGGTGCTAGGAGAGAATGAGGCACCCAAGTCTAAATCCCCATTCCCCCCAGCCCGTGAAGCTTATGTTCAGAGAAGGGGAAACAGAAACAAACAAACAACAAAAACCAAACGGAAACCCACCATTGGTCAGGACTGGAAGTCATAACCAAGGAAAGAATGATCCCAAATTTATCTCCCAGGATAGGGGGAAGGCAGCTAGCTTGGGGAGAGGGGGCTTCTGTTGCCATGTTGACTGACACTGTGCTCTACACAGAGTAGAGCAAGCTCCATGAAAATGGCAGGGCTTTGAGGTTCCTGGCCATGTTAAGAAGCTACTAAGCAAAAGGTTCTGCCATCACAGATACTGATGTGAGGTTCTGCTAGGGGTACCCACAGTGATTTAAACAACAACAAAACATATCTGTTTAAATATGCCTGCCAAGCAAGGCTATAGGTACTCAGTGAAACACTTTGAACTCAGAGTTTATTATAAGTCTCAGTTTTAAAGTTTTGTATATCTCGTTTCTACTCTCTGATCTAACCCAGCACAACATAGGCACACACAGACATATGAATATAAAGGGACACACAGAAATACAATCCACTACAGAAACACACATAGAACAGATGCCCAGTACAATTCACACTCAGAGACAAACACGTAGACACATAAAGCACACACCAAGCACAGATACAGCACACACACACAGTACACATGGCTACTTAACCAGAGTCTACAAGACACCCAATGTGCACTTCTGTGTACACATAGGTCCTGGAGTATTTGACCACTTCTGTGGGGTTGCTGAAGATGGTCCAGCCCCCCATGTTACCTGTCTTCATGTCGTCTGGATGCTTGCATCCTTCAGACTGCCAACAACTCACAGGCTAATGCCTGGTCCTCAGGTGCCCAAGGCCATGGTAGGTCAGGTAATCCAGGCTGCGCCTTGCAACTATGCACAGGAGGACAACACTCACTTCCTATTTTGTTAGGGGACATTGCTTTTCTCTTCCCCAAGGGTCTCTGTGATGCCCAGTGCCCGGCACAGAGTCTATTCTAACTTGACATCGGAAGAGGGTTATTGAGGATAGAGTAAAGCCATCTCAATACTCCATAACAGCCCAGGGAGACTGTGGAGTCAGTACTGCTTTTTTTTTTCTTTTTTGTATGATTTTCTCTGTTACACAACTGATAAAGGACTAATCGGAATCTCCACTTAAGATCCTTTGACTTTTAAACAAAGTTAGGAGCCTCCCACATAGGGCCTCTGAAAGGCTCTGCCCTGCAGACTATCAATGCAGATTCTGAGACTTATGGCCAAACTTTGGGCAGAATGCAGGGAATCTTATGAAAGAAGTGGGAAATAGTAAGATCTGGAGAGGACAGGAGGTCTACAAGGAGAGCAACAGAACCAAAAAATCTGAGCACAGGGATCTTTCTTGAGATTCATACTGCAACCAAGTACCATGCATGGAGATAACTTAGAACCCCTGCACAGATGTAGCCCATGGCAGTTCAGTGTCCAAGTGGGGTCCCTAGTAATGGGAACAGGGACTGCCTCTGACATGAACTGATTGGCCTGTTCTTTGATCACCTCCCCCTGAGGGGGGAGCAGCCTTACCAGGCCACAGAGAAAGACAATGCAGCCACTCCTGATGGATCAGAAGGAAGGAAAGGAAAGGAGGACCTCTCCTATCAGTGGACTTGGGGAGGGACATACATGCAGAGGATGGAGGAAGGGAGGGTTTGGGAGGGGAGGAGGGAGGGAACTAGAGGGGGGATACAAAGTAAATAAAGTGTAATTAAAAATAAAGTAAAATAAAAATTAAAAAAGGAATCATAAAATAAAGACCTAAAAACTGACTCCTAGTTTAACTTGACAGAATGATTACGATCTCTGTTGTTACCCAAACACAACCAAGCCGAGATCCAGTTGTGCACCCAACTCATAGGCTTGCTACTAAGCACATGGGGAGCTATGGTCTGCTTGGCTCCTTGAGTTGCAAGTACCAGGCAGCAGCCCATGAGGAGAGCTGTTACTGCTGGGCACAGTTGTGGATACAGAAGGACTGTGGCTTTGCGGCTACTCTAGATGATCCACAGAGCCACAAGGAGACTCTTGCTTTGCCCACACATGCTTGCACCTCGGAAGTTTCCACTTTGAGTATCCCAAGGTGATCCTGTCAGAAACTCAGCAAGCCCACGGTGATCCTACTGGAAGCCACCGACAGGCTTGCCGTGCCCGTGCCCAACACACCATTTGGGCGCTCACACTGGCCTCACGGACACGGCCTGGAGACACCCACTTGTTCCTATCTGTACTGCCCACAGCCCCCCCCCCCCCCCCCGCACTGAGGCACATACCTGGTGCAGCGCGCCTACCACCTTGCGAGCCTCCTGGTAGGTAGTCTCAGCGCTCCAGTGTGTGTTCATGGCCTTGAAGGCCGCAGCCAGGCGGTTGTGCTCACGCAGCCACAAGGTGTGCACTGCTGCCAGGGCAGGGACCTCGCTGGCTCGGCCATCGCCAGCCAGGAAGCAGGGCGCACGGGTGGGTTGTGGGGCTCCAGGCTCTGGAGCGCAGGCGGTGGATGCGAAGGGCATGTAGGCACGGCCACTGTCTAAGTGGCGAGTGTTGACACGCAGCAGCCCCGCGGAGCTGCTCCAGTTGCGCAGCTGCTTCTCCGCGCCCGGGGAGCTGCCGTACACTGTGGACGCGTCCAGGAAGGAGGTCAAGCCATTCATCTGCTGCCTCGGGTTGGCTGCGGACAAGTTGCCAAAGAGCACCGCGTGCTCCCCAGTGCCACAGGCCGCCGAGGAGCGGTAGAAAGGCAGGCATGCAGTGGTCCCCGAGGTGTTCGAGGGAAGCTGTGGCAAAGGGGAGACCGGATGTCACCTCAGGCTCGTGGTGACTTTTAGATTTAGATTATTTTTAAGATTTTAAAGTCTTAAATCATAAAATAAAATTGGGTTGATTAAATGATGTAGGTAAGGGGTAGTGATTATTGTTGAGTGACCATTTCTGGCCCCAGAGCTTGCAAGTGGCATAGCCTGGGAGTTGTGAGATCAGTTACACACACAAAATGGTGGTGTACACAGGAGTGCATTGAATGTCCAAAGAAGCACATGGAGGAAGCTTCTGGGGACAGGGTATAAGAGGGAGACTTTGCATTTCATTTCAAGTTTTCCTGTTTAATTTTTTTAAAAGGGCGTAGGTTGTTTCATAATCAGTGAAGAGTTGAGGGAAATTACCTGTATGGGGAAGCAGGGATATTGGTTCTCACAGGTCTGCTGGCAGTCCACACCTCCCCAGAAGGCTGCTGTGCTGGTGCTCTGCGGTGTGAGGGCAATGTCATGATCGATGTACTGTCCCCATGCTGACAGGAAATCAGAATACTGGTCATCTTCAGTCACAGCCTCATTTGAAACTTGAATGAGGTGCCTTGTCACCTCCCGTACCTGGGGGAAAAGAACAGCTTGTAATGATGTAGTAGCCTGCACTGTGGACAATAATGGAGACCTTGGGGTCTGAAAGTCATGGCGAGGCTCTTGTTCAAAGCTCTGGAGCATCCTAGGAACACCTGTCACTGTGGACATGATGACAAGAGCCAAGATGAAAGTCTTGGAAACCTGCCCCTGATTTGTGGTGACAGGAGCACCCTAGGAGTTCAGGAGAAAGATCAGTGAATCTTAGTACCCAACTCTACCTGCTAGTCCTAACTGTTAGAAACCCTTGGCTCTCTCACTAAAAAAGCCACCTGAAAAACTGCCTACATGGGGGGATGAGTTTAGAGCTCTGTGATGGTAAAGGTGTCAGTTGACAGCTGACTGGTCAGCTCTTCACTTCTGGTACTGATTTTCCCTATGCTGAGCTGGGTTCTTGCTATCATACAGTTTGTGAATTCTGTTGTGGAATGCCATGAAAACAAATATTGGGTCATCCACTGATGTGAAGAGTCAAACTAGGGCCAAAGTGGACCATGCTTTGATGAAGTAGATCAATGGACCCAATGGCATATGTTGGACTGAAGGACCAGTAGGAAATGAATGCACTTCCCCCCAAAATGTGCTGCTGGTAATAAAACAGTTCTCAGCACCTGCGCATAATAGTGTATGCGAGTGTATTCATCAATGATAAATGCATGTCATTGCTCAGCCTTGTCTTCCACCTGATAAATACAATAATTTATTTGAGAATATTAAAGTTGCTTATCAAGAAGAAGGATGTAAAATTAGATGACAGTGACTTAAATTTCAGTTGTTCTCTTCACTCACTAAGTGTGGCTAGCCTTTGAAGCCATATCCATTGGTTTTATACCTCAGAGCTCCAACTTCTTAGGAAGTCTGGGAACACAAGGGGATGTTTGAATCCCTAAGGATACTAAATCATCCCAGTCATCACCTATTGTCTTCCAAGGCTGTGGGGAGTGTGTTATCATTTCATGAAGCCTGTTTCCTGTCTTGTTGAAGCAGTTTCTAAGTGAGTACTGACCGGGGGCAGTGGGAAGCCATTGTATAAGAAATTAGGGTTCCAGCCTCTGGGCTGACTGAAGCCATCTTCGTAGACAGGAGGCAGCCATCTTGCTAGGGCTGTGTTGGAGGCTCCCCATCTGGGGTGATCTCTGTGGAAAGAAATGAAGGAATGTGTTTGAGGTGTAAGAGTATGAAAAAATGTTGGGGTCTCATTACAATATAACTCACTCAACATGATACACCGAGATAGCCTAAGTCTCTGGAGATCAGCTTTATCAGCTGATCTTTCTGATGGATTTCCCTGGAGTTTGTGGAGGGAAATAGAAGCAGCCATTAAAAGTCTCCCAACCAAAACAAAACAAAACAAAACAAAAACAACAACAACAACAACAACAAAAACCCAGGGTCAGATGTTTTTAAGCACAGAATTCTACCAGACTTTCAAAGAAAGAATGAATTGTAAGATAAAACTTCAAGTTTTTGCAGAAAGAAGTAGAAGATTATCAAAGGATAGAAAGATTTCCTATGCTAATGAATTGGTAGGTAAATGTAGTAAAAATGGCCATCTTGCAAAAAGAAATCTACAATAGCCATCAAAATTCTAAGACAATTCTTCACATATCTTGAAAGAATTATTTTCAGCTTCATGTGGAACACACACACACACACCAGGATAGCTAAAACAATCCTGGACAATAAAAGAACTGATGGAGGTCTCACTATTCCCAATTTCCAGTTGTGCCACTCCTAATGACGCTCTGCTATACTCATAGATCAGTGCATCATTCAGCCATCATCACAGATGCTTCCTCCTGCAGTAGATGGGAACAAATACTGAGACCCACAGCCAGACATTACATAGAGAGAAAGAGACATTAGATCCCTCATCTCTAAATGGGATGCTCCATCCAATCCCTCCCCTCAGAGCTCAGGGAACCCTGCAGAAGAGAAAGGAGTATAAGAGCCAGAGTGGCTGGAGGGTACCAGCAGAACAAGGTCCTCTAAATTAACCAAGCTAAGTTCATATGAACTCAAGAGACACTTAGCACCAAGCACAGGGTCTGCATAGATGTGCTTCAGGTCCTCTGCATATACATTATAGCTCTCAGTTTAGTATTCTTATGGGACTCCTGGGTGTGGGAACAAGTGGGTCTCTGGATTCTGGTGCCTTCTCTTGGCTCTATTTTTCTTCTGTTGGTTTGCCTTGTCCAAATTTGATGTGATGGTTTTTGTTTTATCTTTATTATATTTTATTTTCTTATGTTGTTATCTCTTAGGAGCCTGTTTTTATCTCATGAGAAAGAGAAAGAAAGTAGGTCTAGATCCAGGGGGGAGAGGATGTGGGGAAGAACTGGGAAGAGTAGAGGGAGGGAAAGCTGTAATCAGTATATAGTGTATGAGAAAATAATCTATTGTCAATAAATGAAAAAAAAGAAAGTAGTTATCTGGATAAATATGCTCTTAGAATACAGAACTCTAGTGAGGAAAGTGATTTTTTTTTTTTTGCATGTGTGTATGTGTTTTTGCATGTGTGGTCAGAGGTTTGTGTCGGGTCTCCTCTTCCATTCCTCTTCTATGTTGACATGGGTCTTTTGTTGAACCAGCGCTTCACTATTTTGAGTAGTCCAGAATCCCTTGTCTCTGCCCTCTGAGCTTTGGGGTTACAGATGGGCTGCCATTGATCTGGCATTTGCATGGACTCTGGGATCCAGTTGTCACCCTATGTGACAAGCCCTCGACAAGCTGAGTCACCTCCTTAGCCCAGGCAATTGATTTTAAGATATTTTGGAGTGTTTCAATACTGTTTTTCCTTATCCACACTCTTGTGGATAGGCAGTATAACACATCCTTTGTGTGAATGAGATGGTCTGCAGACAAATGGAGTGGTAGACATTGGAAAAAAATGCTTAAAATGACTCTGGAAAGGAAAGGCCTCATTGTTTGCATGTCTGCTGTTTCGCCTAGGAACATTCCAGAAGAACTAGTTAGCAACAGGCTGTGGTGCTCCAAGGAGACTTGATGAGTTTTGTATGTCTGGGGAGACAGTAAGTGGAAAACAATTCTATTATTAATACTTCATTGCCATCTAGCCCACCAGCTGGCTCAGTTTGGAGTAGTGCTTTTAATTAGCAACACGAAGGCAGCCAGCCTTTTGTACAGATTTGTTACAGTCAGCTGTTCCTTACTGGGGCTCCATAAAGTACAGCACTCAGGGAGGCCTTATTTCACCCAGTACAAACTAACATGTTTATACAGTCTTGCTGGGATTTCTTTTTTTTATCCACCAGTTGACTTTTATATTTCAAAAGTTCACTAGGCGGTCTTAGGTGCTCAAGAACCCTGGGTTGCCATTGTGGACACAGTGTGTCCCTGGACCTGTACAGTTAGGGTTAGCTATTTAACAAGACCTCAGACAGACATTCCTGAATACCTCTTGCTGCTCTGGACCACATGGGAACACCTATCAGCAGGTGCTGAAAGAGCTTCCATCCCTAGTGGAATCCATGCACTGCACTGCATTTATCTTTAGTTCTTCCTTTATTAGGCTTGGGTTAATGACAGCCATGCAAACATGTTGACAGCGGCAATGAACAGAAACATTTCTGAAAGTGCATTTCAGGGGAGTGGTGCCTATTCTTTCATAGCTGACTGGGACATAGGCACAGGCACCAGTATTGTCATCTCAGTGTTCCATGTTTTAATGAGGAAGAAGCCCTTTACCTCCTGTTCAAAAGGGAGCATGAAGCTACTATTATGCTAAGAGATGCCATTCAGCTTATGTTTTTCTGGCCATCTACCCAGACCCAACACCTAGGAAAAAGCAGCAGAACAGCCCTAGGTCATTTATGAAATTAGCATTTCTTTGCACTTCCATAGGCATGTTGCTTTCCCAGCAGTAAGGTAGAATTACATGGAATGCTTTGCATGGGCCCACAGACTTTCCCCAAAGGAGATGAGTGTGTTAATTTCTCCTAGGAAAGCTCCAGAAAGTATCAATTCACAAATTATAATTTTATAATCAATTCACAAGTATAATTTCACAAATTATATTAAAATGCAAATGAAAAAGTAGGGGTTAAAGGTGCATGTGAGTGTGTGCCCATAAGACACGCATGTAGGGAAAGTGCTTACTTTGCATGTAAGACACAGAAATCATCAGGCCTCCTTGGAGCATCACACCTGGTGCTAGCTAGTCCTTCTGGAATGGGCCTAATTGAAGCTGTCAGTTCTCAAAGTTTAATTTAACTATTAGGGAATGATTATAGACATCTGTACAACAAATTACATTCTATGTGCAAATAGGGGTGGGAATGCTTCTGAAAACGGAAACATATCCATCAAATTTACTTTTCAGGGTTTTACATTTCCCCTATGAATTACTTCTGTTCTTTAGATTCTATTGAAGAGAAATGTCCCTCAAGAAGAGGACTGAGAGAGATCAGCCTGTAGGGAAGCTGACATGCTGGCTCTTAGTAGGGTTTGCCTTCTGTAGACCAAAGCACATAGATATCTTTGAGTAAAAGGCACAGTTGGTTAGGCAAAGGCTAGATTCTTTGAAGTCATATTAACCCCTCAACGGGCCAGGTCATCAGGCTCATCACACCTTCCAGAGGCTGAAAAGCCTGCTTTAATTATGAGATCCAGTAGTAGCCTGAGGTCAGACAGGTCACCTACTTATGGTAGGAACCCTTCAGGACTGCTCTCCTTGGAAAAGCATGCTGAGTTACAATGGGATAGTTTGGGGCTCAAGCCTGGGGTCAAGAACAAGGGAGTTGGCTGGCTTCTCTTCACCTTTCTGGGGGCTCTCATCCCTCCTTTGTGTTGGGGGACGCACTTGTTTAACACAGTACTTGTGCCACGGTATCTGTTTCGTCTGGACCATATGTTTAAGTTTTGAGGACAGGAGGCATGGTTCTGAAGTATCTTATGCTTGGGATCCCTCCACAGTGCCAAGCATGCATGAACGAGATGTTTGTACATCTTGCTCATCATCTTTACCTGTTCTGCTACTGCCTGGAAGAGCACTCCTTTTCTCTACCCTCCTGTGTGAGCCCACTGCCTACTGAAGTAAATCAAAGGCTTCTGCATTTGGTTGTTTTTTAGGTAGCATGTTTTCCTCCTTCTAGAATATTTCTTAAAGGCCATTTTAAAAAGATGAAAGAACATCCATGGTTTCCACTGGTATGTTCTGAGCTATGTGGGGTTGGGTAGATATGTTTCTATAAACCCTGAGTGTCAAGAACAGCTATCCTTTCTGTAGGGCTTCATGAATAAAGCTGAAGGCTCCTGCTAATAAACCCTCATAGAGGGAAAGGCTCAATAACAAAGTGACAGCAAGGGAGGGAGAAAAAGCCCCCATGGGTGGGCAGAACACACCCAGGTCTGAGAAACAGTTCTGAAAGGCAACTGCTGGATTGAAGGGCTGAGATTTTATTCATTTTCTTAGACCCAGGATCCCTCTAAGGAGGCAGTTCTAGGTCTCTAATCTCTACCCACAGGGAAGTTGAGGGAGGATGGGTCCATCCTTGTGCTTTAGAATTCCTGCATTCAGGGCACAGTTTTCAGTTCCTTGGGATGCAGGTTTGTGGAATACGCTCCCTGGTAAGTAGTTCTTAAGGGCTGTAATTTCAGGGAAGGAAACAGTGGCCAGGGAGGGAGAGTACTGCTATAGCCTATAACCACAGCATCTCTGCCATGGAAGTCTCTGGTGCTCGGTGGAGTTTCAGCTGGGGAGAAGAGGAAGCGATGGCAGTAGGGTAGCCAACTGGAGCTTTCTAGGAGTCAGCGGCAATCAGATCAGCTACAATTTACTGACGGTCAGAATTAGATTGCTACAAAGTCATGTTCACAGGTGATGGTGACAGGGAAGCTCTGCTTTGTCTCTTTCCTCACAGCCACCTGACCTAAGCCCTGTGAGTGGTAAAAGACATTGTCTAGATGATTATTCTTTGCTGGTAAGACCTATGCTGGCTTCTAGCATATGATGGAGGTTTTTGTTTCTGTTGGATTGTTTGTTTTTCTAAGTACAGTTAGGACCTCTGTGATCAGTTGTATATCTCCTTTAACTACCAGAGTTCAGCAATAAGCTCTCATGTATATGAGGCATGTAAACAACCTTTGAAATACATTGACCTTTGTTTCTGTAGTCACACAGAAAGCTCTCCTCAGCGCCCACTACAGATGTCACAGAAATTACCAAATGAGGGGTCTTCAGCTAAGATGATGGGTTGGAAGCCTCCTCCGATGGTCAGTGATGATCATCGACCTGATAGAATTTAGCATCATCTGGTAGATGCCTGTGTGTGCCTGTGGGGGACTATATCGATGTGGGAAGACACATCTTTATTGTGTATGAGACCATTCCTTAGGCAGGAGATCCTGGGCTATATAAAGTGGAGAGAGTCAGCCAAGCAGCAGCCAGCGATCAGTGTTTTCTTCTTTCCTGACTGTGGGTACCATGTGAGCAGCTGCTTCAGGGTCCTGCCAGAGACTTCCCTACAATGATGTAGTCCAGTACCATAAGTCGGAATAAACCCTTTCTCCCTTAAATTGTTCTTGTCAGGGTATTTTATCATTGCAGCTGGAAAAGAAACCCGAACAACTTTAGTGTGACCCACTGGGGTAAAAGAGGGGGACAATAAGCAGTAGTCTCTATTCTAACAAGAGCTAACAATGAGGGGGTATACCGGGTGAGTCCTCCAGAGGAGGCCATGAAGTTCTAGTGGGAATTCCAGAGAGATTCCCCAGATGAGGCTGTAGAAACGTGCCCAGGGGCTGGATACACAGCAGGGAGACTCAAAGGCTCTGCAGACAGAGACCGAACTGTGTCAGAAGCTAAAGGCTCACTGGGAATCAGGAGGGATGGCTTAAGAGGGAAGCATCCTGCTATTGCCTGGGTAGGTGGTGATCTCTGAGCTGAGAAGCCCATGGCTGAACTCAGGGGAGATGTACCAAAATCAAGACAAGAGAAGTGGCTTGATCTGAAATTGCATCTGACTTCGGAAGCGGACGGTGACATTGGCAGCCAGAGTCCCAGGAAGAGGAACCTGCCCAGCTAAAATGGTAAGCGACAGTGCGGGGTGTGGTCACATTAGTACCTTGGACATGGAAAATCAAGCCAGAGAAGCAAGACCACGCAGCGCACATGGAAGCTACCTAACACCAGTCCATTCTGAGGGATGGGAGAACCCAAGAAAGAGCTGACATCTCCTGGCAGCTCTGCAGAAACAACCCAGAAGGAGATTTGTTAGCGTGTAGGCGGTGTCTCCTTCAAGGGGCTTGCTCCCGGAAGATAGTCTCCCACCCATTCTCACTCCACACACTTCTTGGTTGCTCATCTAGTTCTACCCAGCCCTGCTCTGCAGCACTGTGTAGGGTCAAGGCAGGATTATTTACTCCACTATATATGGGAGCAGGATTAGGAGCGGGTTAAAATGGAGGAGCATGAAGAAAGTGGTCCAAGCCCTGATATAACAGTCTGGTTGCACTAGGTGGAATGCCCCAGAAAAACACACACACACACACACACACACACACACACACATTGAGCTAGGGTTTTTCTCTGAAGCTAAGTGACGACAAGAGGAGGAGGGCACTATGATGATTTGTGTCTAGCATGGGGCACATATATGGAGGAAAGCAAGATCTGCATGCCTCAAGGGTTGACAGGAGGAAGCAGACAGTCCTGGTAACACACTAGAGACAGGTAGGAGATTTGGAGTTATCAAAGATGCTGTCTGAGTATCTGGCTTGAGACATTAGGTGACAGTAATCCATTCTGTGATTTTATTACATAAAGGTGAGATGGAGCAAAAAAAAAAAAAAAAAAAAAAAAAGCTCTCCTCTGCTATCTCCAGTGCAGGGCATCCCAAGGGTAGCAGCTACAGGTAGTGGAAGTGTGAGAGAATGGGGCACACAGGGTAGATGGTCACAGTTCATGGATCTACAGCCTGCTTCTCGATGGCTTGCAGTCATAATCAAATCACGTGGGGCCCGTGACGGGTAGGGGGGTCTTCGCACTGTACCTGTTGTTGCAAGCCCCTGTGATGTGCCGGTACTTCTTTGCCAGGCAAGTGTCAGGACATCTTGGTGGCAGCATGAAAGGCAAGCATCCTGACAGGTTGGCGATCGTGCTCAGAAGGTCTGCTGATAGGCCATCTGCATAACAGGACAGAGCAGACCCTGTGTGAAATCTGTACCAGATAAAGTTTCTTTCCAATGACTGTATCAGCCAAAGCTTCAACACCCACTTCGGGGCTTCCTGTGCAGTCTCAGTCACTGATCTGAGAAAGCCTGCCATCCCGGCTCAGTTTTGCACTCCTTCAATCAGTCCTCTCAATCATCTTCATTGCTAGTAGTGTGGGGGTTTGTTCCCTTTTTGCTTTGTGATGACAGAAAAGCAACTTAGGAGCCACATGGCTCCAGGAAGACAAGCCAGGAGGCTACTTCTCAGAGCTGCCCCCATCTCGGAGGACACACCACTTTACATGCTACGGAGTGGCTGATTCTATAACGTAAATAACCTTAAAGTATCCCTTAGGATATTTTTTTTAATTTTTAAAATTTTATTTTTAATTACACTTTATTTACTTTGTATCCCCCCTCTAGTTCCCTCCCTCCTCCCCTCCCACCTTCTCCACGCATGCCCCTCCCCAAGTCCACTGGTAGGGGAGGGTTTCTTTTTCTCCCTTAGGGTATTTTACATTATCAATTTTGCAATAAGATCCGTCTTCCCGATGTGCTCTTGCTCTCACCTGAGCTGAAAACCTTGCTATACAGACAGAAGCAGAAGCCAGGAGGCTTCCATCCTCGGGACAGGTCATCCTACCAACACTTCCACCCCTGTCTGACCTGGTATCACTAGTGGATAGGGGCTGATGATGTCTGTAGACAGGTCTTTCATCTATGTGGTCTGAAACAAAAACCTTTTCAGAATGATTTTATGGTTGCTACAAAAACCAAACTCAGTTATTCAGTATAGGATCTGAGCACTGTGATTAAGACTGGTTTAAAATGAGTTCATCTCATCAGGCAAAGAAGAACCAGATTAACTTAGAGATCACATAGCTCGTGACACCACACTGAAAAGAACCACATGGCTGTCACATTCCTTGGGTAACAGACTAAGTCAGAAGACCCTGACTGCAAACTGGGAAGTTGAGGCCCCTGTCTAGTCTTCTGCCTGCTGGGACAAGACACAACCCGGATGAATGTCTCCTCAGAGAGCCTTTGCGGCTGAATGTATTCCCCAAGTTTCACTAGGTGGGAATGCTACAGGAAAATTCCCAATTTACTTTAGACCATAAAAGGCATGTTTAGCTGTTTCTCCAAATAGGATTGGAATTGGAGGGAAACTATTTCCAAGAACAACAGACATAAGAAACTATGAGTGGGTTTGAGCAGAGGCATGTGGGCTGCTTACCCGTGGAGAATTGTGATTGTTCACGTCTCATGGCTTGTATGGATGTTTCCATAATCTCTGCTGCTCGGGACACAGCCCCACTGGTGGGTTCTGGCAGCTTGGAGAAAGAGAGAAGCTGGGTTGGAGAAAGGACTTCCCTTTTCTTGAGGTTTCTAGAGCATAAAGAGACATAGATGGGGCTTGAGGGGCAGCTCAGTTCGCAAAAGTGCTTGATGAGCAAGCATGTAAGCACTCAGATTTGATCTCCAGAACCTTTGGAAAAATCTGGGCATAGTGATACAGTCCTGTAATCCCAGTGCTGGGGAGGTGGAAGCAGGTAGATCTCTTAGGTACCTTCCAGGCTACCCTAACTGGTGAGCCCCAGGTTCTAATGCGAGATCAAGTCTCAAAATACAAGGTGTATGGTCTTTGAGGTTGACTTCTGGACTCTTCATGCATGTGCCTATGAACATGGAAACATACATTCTCCCAACCCTCCCCCTCCTATAACCAACACATATATACCCAATAAATATATAAACTGGATATTTATAAAGTGACTGCACACACCAGACAATGAACTATGGGGTACACAAAGAAAACACCTAGCTAGTTCTGAACCAAAGAATTGCTGGGGTCAGTAAAAGAGATAGAATACAACTAGAAAGTATTAATAATGGGTGCTGAAGACAATGGCTGATAGTTTCTGTTTGTTTATTTGTTTTTTAAACAATCTGTATCTGAATTATCTTGATTCTCTTTAACAGTTCTTAGTTTCTCATCAAAACCTAGGCTGGGCGGGGTCACTGCAGGGTAGTCTCAGCTGGAGCAGGAAGGTTCATCAAATCCTCCCATTTCTGACCTCCAGAGTCTGAGGGTCTGAGGCTAGGCAGAGCCCTGAAGCTGGCATAAATGTCCCTTTCCTGCTGCCAACTATCCCAGACTGATCCAGGTATGTATAACTGTGACCTTTGGGAAAACAGCCCTCTTTTCAGTTTTATCATACTGTGAATAAATGGAATGTCTATATTGTCCATTTATTAGTAACAGCCTAAAATACCCGCTGCTCTCTGAGCAAAAGTCATGCTTCAGGTACTTCAGTGCAGTGACTTCATACTGTAGCCTGAAAATGTGATTAAGAGAGGCCAACTGCTTTTACCACAGAAGAAAAACAGTTACATGAGGTGATGGTCAGTGTCTGTTGTAATTATTTCTATATCTGTGTTTATGTCCAAACAGCAAGCAGCATACTCCAAAATATATAATACAAACCCCTTAAGAACCCCAGTAAATAAATGCCATAATTATGACAATTAAGTAGGCAAGAAATTTAACACTTAACCCATGTAAGCTGAATGGCTTTTGCAAGGTAGACATGAGTGACAGCAGCAATGTTGAGACACAAACACACAGAACTCACATGCACTGGGAACGAGTGACTCTGTTTACCCATGTCCATGATACAAAATGTAACCTATGAAATACTTGTATTTTTTTCACATGCTCACAAATGTAAAAGATCCAATAAAGCCCTGAGCCTTGAGGAGACAGATTATTCCAAGTGTGCATGCGACATGAAGTGATCAAAGCTTCGTGGGAACGGGCAGAGGGCAGGAGGCTCCAGTTTAGAGGTGGAGGCCATTGCCACTTGCTACTAGTTGGGGCTACATCTTCTTGAGGTGCCAGTGGTAGACAGAACTGTGGCCTCTAAAGATAGAGGGCATTTCTCTAAAATGTATTTGGACAGAGGACATTGCTAATGGGAAATGTGGTGTTTTAATGTTTGTACTGTGCTACTTATATATTTGTGAGCAGGCAAATATTTGGAGTAGAGGGCAACTTGTCTTTCTACTATTTGTTGATGAACTCCCCCTTGATGCTCTAGCTGCCTTGAGGGAAAAGACTATCAGCATAAAAGCCTGCTGGCTGTCATTATGCCAAAACCTGCGGCTGAATACACCACAGATGCTGTACCAAGGCATAGCGCTCATTTTTAAACTCTATTTTATTTGGGGTTCCTTAAAGCCTCTCCCTTCCAGCTCCCAGCCCTAGGTAGGAGAGAGGAGGTTAGTGGGGAGAGGGGTAGCAGACCCCTTTACTTCTCCCGTTTCTCTAGGGTTGATAGGTTCTTAGGGGCTATACCAATCTTGGTCAACAGCAAATGCAGCAAGCAGTCTCCTGCAAGCCGCTGTGCCATGCATCATCTCTCCCGTCTCTCTCCAAACTGCCACATGCCACCCAGCTCTGGTTTCTCAAAACTGCTGCATGCCATACACCACACTTTCTATCCCCTGAGCTCTCCTAGACCATGTCCCGCTCAGTGCTGCATGAGGCAGGCTGTTACCAGCTGTCGAAGACCACACCCCACAGAAGGCAATTGCCAGCTGTGGACAAATTAAAGTCCAAACTAAAATCCCACATCTGTGATTAAAAAACAAAAAATCATATTTCTATAACTAAGTTTTTAGAGAAACCACAACTTTCGTTTTATCAAACACCACAGATTTGCTTCTCATCTTTTGTTGCTACGAGCCACAGTGAACGTTTTCTACCTCATTAGAGGGGCACTTCTCCTGTTCTAGCAGAACTGCTGTGACTTGGCAGTGGGGCAATGCCACAGTGGGTCCAAAACACAAGCTTTGGTGGCTGTGATTGGTATTAGTAGAGGGGGGGTTGAGTAGCCAGTTACCTGACTGCTGAGGAAGCAGCTGAGCAGTTTGAGAGCAGCTAGAGCAGGAAGGAGGAAACAGAAAGATGAAAAGATGAGCAAATGGAGAGCTGAGACAAAGGACGGGCAGGCTGTAAGAAGCCAGAGAAGAGAACCTGTAGATCCCGGTTGGTGGAACAGTCCCGGAGAGCCATCAGTTCCTTAGTCTAGGGCCTCAGAGCCTATGCTGAGAGCTGTAATACTAGTCCCTGCCAAGGGCTAAATGTCTAAAATTTTAGGCCTGGTAGGTACATTTGTAGGGCTTAGGGTCCTGTCGGGGACTCTGACACTAGAGGGCGCCACTTACTGTTGCTTTTACAAGCCTGCAACTGTTGCTCACTGCTGCCAGAGAAATGAAAGCTACCATAGAGCAGCATTTGAAGAGTTTCTCCTTGCCCGTCCAGGATTCCTAGCTGGATAGGGAAAAAGAACCCCTGGCTGGCTGATTGGTGATGGATGCTGTTACTCTGCCCTGTTCTGAGGTGGACAGCCACTGGAAACAGGCTGCCCTGGTGCCTTGATCCCTAGGCTGGATATTCTAGTCCTCATAGCTTGCTAATGATAGTGGTCATTATCAGGGTCCATGCCTGTATCTTCCTCTGGCTTGTCGCCTTAGCTGTTACACAGCCCTTCAAGAGGACTTGTCCTCCCTGGTGGATTACCTCCCTTCCATACCCAGCCTTCCCTGAGCTCTGATCTAAGGGGCTTGGTGAGGTGTTTTATTTATCAGCTGTCCAGTCAGCTGTCCACCTGCTGCTGCCCCTGGGAAGTTGCAAAACAGGCAGCCCCATGTGTTGACTGTCTAATCACAGTGACGGTCTCCAGCCATTTTGCAGGGCTCATTCACACTCCAGCTGCAGAAGCTGGGAGGGTGTTAATGTGTGTTCTTATATTTGCAGAAGGATATTGATTTTACTCACATTTCATGGACTTTGTGTTTAGCTGGCTCAGCATTTTTCAAGTGAAGAGCCAAGGAGGAGAGCCACAAGTCAGATTTATGTTGTTTGCTCTATTCCCCCTCCACCCCCATCCCGGGTGTTTGGGAAGTAGAGGGTACAGCTCAACAGCGCCATCCTCATTAGGTCATCCCGTGCCCTTTGCTTCTTCTGCTGCCAGGCAGAACCTAGAATATCTTAGTGTCAGCATGTGGAAATGATGCCACAGGTCTGAGCACAGATAATCCAGATGGGTGTAACCTGGAGCCCAAGGGCAACCGTGAATCAGAAATTAAGTTTGGATGCTGAAAGGGAGCAGATTTGTCACTCCAGGCAGTGGTAAGGATGTGATCCTGGCACTTTGTGTTGCCTATAGCTTCCTGTTTCCCGAGATTCTCCTGCCTCTCAGCAGAGAAAAAGTAGGGAAAGCAGTCTTTCTACATTCTTTGAGGGAGGGAGAAAGGAAGGAAGAAAGAGAGGGAAAGAAGGAGGAAGGGAGAAGAGAGAAGATAGGGAGAGGAGAAAGAAAGAAAGAAAGGAAGAAAGGAAGAAAGAAAGAAAGAAAGAAAGGAAGGAAGGAAGGAAGGAAGGAAGAAAGAAAGAAAGAAAAAAAGAAAGAAAGAAAGAAAGAAGGAAAGAAAGAGAGAGAGAGAGAGAAAGAGGGAGAAACAATATATGGATATAAGTTTTAGGCTACGTTCTGCAGATGCACAAGTGAAAGCCTGAGCCTGGAAATCTCATCTCCTTAGTCTGCTGAGGACTCTTGGTTCAAGGGAGCAGAGGAGTTGGTGGCTTCATCCTGACAGGTCCGGGAAGGGTTACTGATTATAAATGGTCCCCCATACAGGGCTCTCTGGAGACACTTTCTACCAGCACATCTGACTTGCTTTCTAGATGGCTCAGTCATGACTAATAGCATGCCCTATCCACATTTTTTTTTTCTTTTTTTGGACTGGCTCTATTTCCTGCTGCAGAAGCTCAGGCTGCCAATCACAGATGAAACTGCCATGTTGTCAGTATAGCCTCATGCTTCTTCCTCCCCAACCAGTACTGTCATGGGGTCCCCTGTCACCCATCAGCTGTGTGTCCTGCACTGAGGTTGACACTATGAAACTCTTAGGCTTGTGAAATTTTCTGCCACCACTCTGACCTCCAGTGGGTAACTCCTCTGACTTTAAGAATCCCAGGAGCATCCCATCCTACTGAAAATGCCCTTTCTTCATCCCATCACTTCATCTGCTTGGGAAATGTTTTCCTCTTTCTTTCACCTTCAATTTACTTTTTAAATAGCCAGGTAACAATTTGTCTGTAGCCAGTATGGAATAATGAAACAAATTTCTACTTGGAATAATAGAAATCTGAGGTAAATCAGAAGTTGTCAAGTAATAATTTGTACCTTGAGAGATATTGTAACTTTTCACCAACTTCCAACAAAATGATAAACTTGTGAAGATAAAACCTGGTATGTTTGTGAAGTTTTGTGAACGTCTAATAAGACACCTTGATGCCATTAGCTCTGGTGTCTGTCACATATTTAAAAGTGTGATGTGAGGGGCTGGAGACATGGCTCCGAGTTAAGGGCACGGACTTCTTTTCTAGAGGAGTCCGATTAGATTCCCAGTACTCACACAGCGGTTCATAACTGTCTGCAAATGCAGTTCCAGTAGATCTGATGCCCTCTTAGGCCCACTGCAGGCATATTGCAAGCACAAGATGCTTAGGCATGCATGAGGGCAAAGCATGTGCAGAAATACAATGAGATTATAAAACATTTTTTTTAATTAAAAAATGAACATGTGGGGTCAGTTATTTTGGGAAAAAGTGATGACCAGATTGAGGCTCTGGTTCTGTGCTTGAGGTTCTAGTGACACTACAGTGGCTTCGCACCGAGCCTAAGTGCACACGCCCTTTCTCCTTAATGTGTCCTAATGTTACTCCTGTCCGAGCCTCAGGCTCTGTCATTCTGGCACCTTGAACTATGATTAGACCACAGGCTTTTGGCTTTTGTTTCTCTGAGCAAAGAGAAAGGCTGAGCATTGTTTTCCCATTGCTGCCAACAACGCTGGGACCATGAACTTCTGTGCCTCAATTGCAAAAGGGGCCAATGGTGAACACCGTCACTCACCTTTTCATGGTGTTGTAGACTGCATTGTCCACCATGAGCTGGCTTGCTTCCACCAGGCTGTCCACACCAGACTTCACAGTCCTCCCTAGGATAGAAAGCACTGCACCATTAAAACAGACACCCTCAGACCTCCCCCTGAGCAGCATCTCTGCCAGCTTTAGCTTTCTTCCTTAAGTGCAGAAGGGTGCAGGGATGGTCACATGGTCTCTAGAAATGAAGGGATTATTGGAGTGCACTTGAGCATTAACATCTATACAAAAATGAAACAAATTCTGTAAAGGTAAACTAAGTAACTGCATATTTTAGACACTGTATCAATGAGAGAACTTTGCAGCATTCAGCCCCTGACAGCATCTGCCTATTGATATTTGATGTAAGAAGCAGCAATATGATGAGAAGTTGTTAGAGAACCTGAGACACTTGAGATCACAAGTTCCCAAGGCCATACCAGTCCTCAGCTTGGGGCACAGTGTGCTTACTCATTTTCCTTCTAAATTTACCTTGCTATATATCCATTCCTGAAGTCAGCTCTGGTCCTGTCTTAGCAGATGGAAGAAAAGCACTCATTCTCTAGATTGGGTGGGCATTGCTGGCATTCTAGCAGGGAGGCCGTATGCGTGGACCATAGAGGCAGGATACTGTGTTAAGACGTGATGAATGAGTGATAATAGTGCTCAGTGCTCTTATTGTGAGAGCATGGTCATTTCCTGACTCTATTTACACACATATTTTTTGGCTCTCTGTGGAGGACCTGTTGAGTCCAGAGGGTCCACAAAGCACTGAATCCTTCGTTTTCTGTCTATGGTACTATCCTCCCCAGCCTTAGTTCCTGAGTTCTTCCCCTCACCGATCCTTCCTAATAACAGTTTTGGCTCTTCTGGTTTTTATCTTTAATTCTCTCCCAATTCATCTTCAACTTGAACTACTTCTGTCTCCATCAGTGTACATGGCCTCTGTGGTGGTTTGAGTAAGAGTGTTCCTTAAAGACTCACATGTTTGAATGCTTGGCCCCCAGTAAGTGGAACTGTTTGTGAAGGATTAGGAGGTGTGGCCTTGTTGGAAGAGAGATGTCACTGGGAATGGGTGTAGATGTTTCAAAAGTTCACGATAGGCTCAACCTCCCTCCTGCCTGCCTTCTCTGTGTGTCTGTCTGTCTGCAAATGTCTCTCCCTCTTCTCTGCCTGCTCCCTACAGACCAGGACATAAAGCTCTTAGCTATTGCTCCAGTGCCATGCCTGTCTGCTCACCATAATGACCTTAGACTAATCCTATAAAACTGTAAAACAATCCCCCAATTAAATGCTTTCTTTTGTAAGTGTTGCCTTGGTCATAGTGTCTCTTCGCAGCAATAGAACAGTGACTGAGGCAGCCTCTGATACTTTGTCTGGAGTCAAGTGCCATTTGAAACACTTAAAAATGTGTCCTTTTCCTTACTTTCTCAGTGTCTTTTAGGAAGCTCTGTACATCCTATCACTGAGTGGGAAAATTTATGGCTGAGACTTTGTTCCTGCTGTCAGTCAAGTGGCTTTCTAAATAAAGGCCTGTTGGGCTGTGCCTCCTCTCACAACACAAAGACCCAGATTCCCACAGAGTGACAGCCACACTCCTTTCCATGCAGTACAAGACCCTCACAATCTACAAGGACAAGGTTTAATTTTCAAAGCTCTGGGTGCGATAACTTGATTTCCTCCTCTTTTAAAATGGATCATCCCCTGGTACTAAAGGAATAAGAACATTTATTATACAAGCAAGAACCTCAGTTCAGAGCCCAGCATCCATGACAAAGTCTGCCATGGCTGCATGCACCTTGCATGCAGTGCTGTGCAGAACAGGGGTAGGAGGGCCATTGACGCTCACCGGCTGCCCGTCTAGTTCAGGTTCGGTGAGAGGACCTTTCTTAGGGTAATAATGTGGAGAGTGAAAGAACAGTACTCCTGATGCCCTCTTCTGCTCTCTCTGTACATATACGTGTACACAAACACCCTCTACACCTGTTTATACCTCCTGCACCCCCAAAGTATCTACTTGAAATATCCAGCTCATACTCTTCCTTAACAAAATGACGCTGAGTAGGCTATAGCAGAGGAAAATGATCAGCTCTGTACTGTGTGCTCTGTGCACAATGAACGTTAGGAGACTGGACCACATGGTCTCTACCTCTTTGGTACCCAGATGGAAGTTGGACTTGGTAGATGTTGCTGTTCAGGTAATTCTGCCTGCCCTCAGGAGCCTTTAGGGTCCTGACAACACCCTATGTCACCACCTGTGTCCTATGTCATCACCTGGACCAGGTGCTCTAGATGTAACCCATCTGCCTTTCCCACTTGCTGCTCTGTCTGCCTTGGTTTCTCTCCCTGTCCCTGTTCTCTCTCTGGCTTTTCTCTCTCAGGGAGCCTTCACCATCCCCATCTTTCTTTCCTATGTTCTCCCACTGTCTTTCTTGTTCTCTGTCTCTGTATCTCTCCACCTTCATACAATAAATCTCTTCTTACCAGATCTTCTGAGTGCATGTGACATTTAAAAAATATATTATTACAGTAGACACTTCTCATTACGTAAGAGCTAAACGACTGAATAGAAAAATTAACTATGAAGAAAAAGGTGTGGGTGTGTGTGCATTTCCTATTCTGGGGAATAGTAGTTGCCATTGAAATAATTTCCTGTTATTGACCAATATTAGGTTGATATTTAAATTGAAACAATCATGTATCACTTATACTTTAATTTGCTATATTATAAAATACCAAAATTTAAAGAAAGGTTTATTATTTCAAATTTTGTCTTTGAACCAAAGATTTTTCTTATTGAAAAAATTCCTGCAGAAACACTTCTTATCTATGAGCTTCAAAAATCTCCGTGGAACTGCATAAATTTGAAATTAATTATGTTTTAGATATAAACATATGTTTTAGATGAATGAGGTGTCTCATTCATCCAGAACAGAGAAGAGAATCTTCTCTTCTGCCCATCTTAGGTTAAATTTCGGGGGGCAAATATATTAGACCAACAAAGGAAGGATAAGCAGGAGAAAAGGCTGGCAGCCAGCAAGCCTTAGTCAGTGTGCCGAGTCCCATGGGAGGTGCCAGAAGCAACTGACAGCATTGTTGAGAACTTAGTTAGACAGGAAAGGAGGACAGAAAGGGGAGGAAAGAGGGAAGGAAGAGGAAACAGGTTGTTGCTTATTAGGGAACACGCTGGGAAGAGACAGATAAATAGGGAATGCCCCCAGGCACCTGACAGCTGGGTTTATAATGTGGGTTCCTGGACATCTGTGCCTGCTTAGAACCTGGAGCTTCCTTTCTTCTTGGTAGGCAGTGGTTAAGACACTTGCTCAATGGATTTTCTGGCCAGCAGGGGGAAATAGAGTGCCTCTCTAAAACCCATGGCATTCTTTGCATCTCAAGAGCTATCCAGCAGGTGCACAGGCTACTTCTGACTTTTCTGACTTGTCTTTGCAGTTAGGTCAATGACCCCAAGAATCTCAACTTGGTCTCTTCTGTTTGTCTAGAACAGAAATCCAAATTCTAGAGAGTAACTTGACCCAGTCTCTGTCCTGGAGATATCATCTGTCATCTGGCTTTCCACGTGTATGTCCTTAAAGTGCCATCTGCTCTGGGAGGCACACTGGCCTCTAGAATCCCACCTCCTGCATATTCATAACTGGAAGGCAAGAAGCCATTATACAAGAAGGTACTTTATGTCAAGATAAAGAAACAAACAGTCGGCATAGTTCCAAACATGTTCACTAACGCAAAGAAACCACAAGGAAAGCCAATGTCTTCCTCCCTAAAGCTTCTGAGGCCCCAGGCTCCCCAGTGCCGCCCTTGGTTAACTCGGATCACTCAGCTTTTGCTCATAGCCATGTGTGGATCATGATGGCTGTTTTCGGAAATTTGGGGAACTGAGCTGGCCAGCTTTCCTTTTAAACAAACTCCCCCACTAGGCAGGCTTCCCAATCTCAGGATTTGCAGGCAGCTTTCCTGCTCACACTGTTCATTTGCATCTTATTTTCTTTTCACAGCTACAACTAGCTGCTGAGTTCGCCATAAAGATAATTTCGCACGGATCTTAATTTTGCACAAACACTGGGAGCCCATCTCAGTCTGTCGAAAGGAATGCACAGGTCTTCATGAAAAATTGCTACCAGGGGCTGTCAAGAGATTCTATGAGGAAAGTTTCCCTAGATTTATAATGGTCGTGGGTATAGTTTAGAAGAAAATGAAACCTTTTTTTCATTTTCAGTACTTTGTTACCGAATTTCCAGGTGCTGAAGTTTCTTTTCCTCTGTGCTTTAAGCCATCTGGCTCTGCACAGTAAAGTGTGTGTGTGTGTGTGTGTGTGTGTGTGTGTGTGTGTGTCCTTTATAGTTTTGCTTCTTAAAGTGTCTTTGATGTCCCCTAAACGCACAAAGTCATCTGCATTGTTATTTTCCAAATGCATTTAATTTTGGCTGTGGTGAGATAAACCAGATGAAACCTATGTTTCAAATACATTTCACCACTGCATATTTATCGGTTCAAGGGCACTGTTTAGTTTTCAACTGATAAAAATGTTCTTATATTAAAGAACATAAAATTGAACTACTGTGAAGCAAATACTTTGGCTTGCTTTTGTTTTTCTATGATAGAGTCTTACGAAGTACAGGCTGAGTTCATTCAAACTTGCTATATATCTGATGCTAGCCTTGAACTCTTGATTCTCCTTGCCTTAGGTGTGCTAACACACCAATCAGAACCTAAAGAACACTAGCAGTGATTTTAATAATTTAGAAAAAGTTAGCATCAAACCCAGGGCCTCACATGTGCCAAGCAAGCACTGCTGCCACTGACCTATACCAGATCAGAGCTATAGCCAAAGTTGGCCTTGATCCTGCGATTCTCTAGTTTTATCCTTTTTGTTGTTTCTCTGCCAATGTGTGGTAGTACTGCTGTCACACTGCCTAAATAAGAAATTTAGAATAAAGTAGATGGATAATAAGCCAGCTTAAAAATATCCTAATGAATTGTAAAATACACTCTGAAGTGTACTGTCGTTATAAAAGTCACGTTGTACATTATTATACACTATTAAAATGTTAGCAGAAGAGTTGAATATATTTTTATATATTGTTGAATATATATTTTATATATTGTTTTATTCCTAGGGTCTTGATAGCTACTGAACAGAAGGATGAAGTGTTTTGCTCCTTTCTGTATGCTTAACAACTGTCATGTTCCAGATGTTAGGAGGATTGGTATGAAGGGGTATACGTAGTTTCTCTTCAAGAGGAAAAATGAGCACCCCTCTTCTTTTCTTTAGCTGCCACAACAACATACTTTTAAAGTGAATGCTCACCAGGAATGCTGGTGGTGGTCATTTGAAGACCCAAACTTGGAAAGGGAGTGGGAATCTCAGAAAAAAAAAAAAAAAAGAGTGCTTTGATACCCAGAAGGAAGAAAGTGTGAATACCCGGAAGAAAAAGAGGAAGGAGGCTTTCTTTAGGAGCTCCCTGGCCTGAGAAGGCAGCAGGGTTATTTTAGTACAGCCTGGATGTTCAGGCAGTCAGAAAAATTAGTCAGAATGTGGCTCCTAGGAGGAAGCGCATCCTGGATGTGCTAAGGATGAAGATGCTAAGGCCCAGGGGTTGGGTTGTGCCTGAAAGACTGGGAGGCACCAAGTGCCCCTTCCCCAGCATCCTGCCACCAGGAAGCTTGCTTCAGGGTGGCCACTTTTCCTTTATCCCCTTCTTTTTCCATGTCCCTTTCTTCTTTTCTTTCCTTCCCTCCCCTTCCCTCACTCCTATTTGTGTCTTTCCTCCCCTTTCCTCTCCCCCTCCTTCCTTCTCTTCTTCCCTTCCTTCCTTTGTTTTAATAATAAGGAGTATGTTAACTATGACATCTCACTATCTTTCTTATCATAAATTTCCCGTACAACTAATTCCAGAAACTACCAGAGACGTTTTAATGAAAGATGATTTTATAACAATAACAGAACATGCAGGTAAAATGGAAATGATTTATTCCACAATCATAGAAAAAAATCAGTTCTTTTAAAGGAAGAATTATATTTCAATCCTTCTAAACTGAACAATTACGTTATTCTCTTTGAAAAGCACAAAAGGGTCTTGACTGGTTCTCAACAACTGCTGTGACAATGTTCAGTTTGTTGAGTGTGAAAAACAACTTTTTGAGACTAAAAGGACATGTATTATTTGTTACTTACCCCACAAGGCTTCTCTGCTTCTCAGGATGAAATGGAGGAAAATTCCAGTTCCCAATACAGCCAGCATGACTGCCATAGCTCTAAGAGCTCTCACTCTGCAGCTGAAGTGGGGAAAGTGATAATCAGAGAGTCAGCAGGATACTGTAGGATCTACCAGAAATACCCAGGCCTCTCCTCAGGCGGGTCCTCCTGCCGCTCCTTAGGACACTGAACCACCCTCAGAACCAGAAAGAGGCTTAGTTAGTCTGGAGTGCCGATCAGACTTGGTCCTCTCTTCATCAGAAACGTGGGGCTGAAGGGTGGGTGCTCCGTGTGAAACATAGCTAACATTACGAATTTAGCATCTATAAAGGTAAATAAACCCCCGGCACCCGCGGCATTTCTTATGTCAAGGGGATTCTAATGAAATGAGTTCAGAGGAAACTAAAGATCCAAATGTGATCACCGCAGTTTCTAAGTCTTCGTTTTCTCAGTCTCACAGGTAGCTTATTTTTGAATCCTTGACTTTACTAAGCAGAACACCCCAAGGGGAACACGGTAGTGAATGTGCATCTGTAAGTGACCTGAGCACACCTGAAGTCATGGGCACAAGGGCACCATCAGGCTTTGCCAGGAAGAACATCTATTTGCCACACAGCCCCAAAACGGCCTCCCCTAGACAACTTTACACTTTCTTTATAGATTTCTCCTAGAAAATGGGAAAATAAAAAGTTTTACAACCTGCCCATTTTTCTTTTCTCAGCTGAGGAAGCAGGGTGTGCGTGGTTGGGTTCGCTGTTTGTGGCCTTCACTTCTAAAATGTGAATCTTGATTGCTTCACTCAGACTTGCTCACCCACCGTATAAGTGGACTCTGCCCCGATGCCCACTCGAGCTTCTGATGGAAGTGGCTCCACTCTGTTTGTTTAGTATTGTGTTTCTGCCAAGTGCTTGTGCGTCCTAGCTGCTCAGAAAGAAGATGACGCTCATAGAGAACACTGCCCACCTGACCGAGAAAGACAGAAGGACATTGTGCTATTCAGAGAAAGAAGAAACTTATTAAAAACAACCCCTTTAACACTTGCACTTTTCTGTGATGATGAAAGCAACCAGAGATGGACACACACACATGTAGAATGCAGACTTGGGAAGAAGAGATTTGGTTGGGGGAAGACAAGGGAATGAGAGGATAATAGGGTATTTGGATTAAAAAAAAATTCATATATATTTATATATGTGTGTGTGAAGTACATTTGAGAAATTATGAAAGAATAAATAAAAATACCACATGAAAACAAAGACGTGAATCACCCAACATCAGCTGGATTGTGTGCTCTGCCGGTCCTCAGTGGCAATGGCAACCTAGAACTTTTGTATATCCCTAAGGTACGAGGGCCCTTCTCCCTGAAAAGTGACTAAAATACATCTTCCTTTGTAAGGCTAAATAAAAAGTCTCATTGTTGATGAGTTCTGAGTACATGCCGAACAAGACCTCAAACTCAAAGAGATCCACCTGTCTCTGTCTTCTTGAGTACTAAGATTAAAGGTGTGCACCACCATGCCCAGCTCCTACAGCCTAATTTTATGGAGGCATTTTCTTAATTAAAATTCCCTTCTCTCAAATGACTTTAACTTGTGTCAGTTGAAATAAAACTATCCAGGTCAATTGACTCCTTGTCAACTTTACACATACATATATCACCGTTAAGCTGCAAACTTTCCTGTCTTATTCATCTTCAAGCCCACAAATAGCTTTAAAAGTCCCACAGTCTTTACAGATTCAAACATGTTAAAGTTTCACTCCCTTTAAAGTACCCAGCCTTTTTTAAAGATCCAAAATGTTTTTAAAAGTTCAAAACCTCTCAACTGTGGACTTCTATAAAAATCAAAATTAAGCTAAATATTTTCTTACTTCAAGAGGGAAGAACCAGGGCATAATAATAATCAGTTCAAAGGGAAACAGTGTAAATAACAAAATATCCAGTATCTGGGATTCACTTGCAATTTTCTGGACTCTTCCAGAGGGCTTGGGCCACTGCTCCAGCTCTGCCCTCTGCAGCGCACACAGCTTGTCTTTTACTCTCGGCCAGACTCCACTCCACTGTTGTGACTCTTCTTGGTGGTTGGCCAAGGATAAATGCTGGAATGTTCTGCTGCAACTGGGCCGCACGGTCACCAATAGCCTCGCCTAGGGTCTCCACTTCTCTGCATGAACCCTTCAATCCTGGGCCTTCAACAGCTGCCGAGGCTGCACCTTCACCAACGGCTTCTTCTGGCCTCTTACAGTATGAAGCCTCCGCTGCTCTCCCTGATCTTTCATGCTTTCAAAAGCAGTACCACCTGGGTTACTTTTGCATTACCAAGCTCAGCTGCTAGTACGAGGTCCAACTTTGGGTGCCTCTGTAACACACCTTCTATGTGCTGACTCTCAGATCTCACCTCAATGATGCTAGTCTCCTTAGCCTCCTCCTCTTCTTCTTTTTATTCTTATTCTTTTCCTTGTTTTTTAAACTTTTAACTTTATTTATACAGTTTTTCACTTTACATTTTAATTGTAGTCTCCATTCTCCTCCCCTTCTGGTCCCAACCTCCCTCCCTCTTCCTCCTACCCTCATCCCCTACTCCTGAGCCCCCCCCCCAACCCCCCCCAGCACTTCAAGTAACATCAGGACTGAGCACATTCTCTTTTATGGTGGCTGGGTAAGGCAGCCCCACCAGGGGGGAAGTGATCGAAAAGCATGCAACAGAATTCCCTGTTAGAGACAGCCCCCTACCAGTAAACCCATAAGAAGACCAAGTTGCCCATTGTGTATATATGTGTAGGGGGCCTAGATTCAGTCCATACATGGTTCTTGGTTGGTGCTCCAGTCTCTGCAGGCCCCCCTGGGCCCAAGTTAGCTGGCTCTGTTGGTCTTCTTGTGAAGCAAATGTGCACTCCGTATCCTTCTATCCTTCCACAAGGGTCCCTGCACTCTGACCAATCTTTGTCTGTAAGTCTCAGCATGTTTCAATCATTTGCTGGGTGGAGCCTTTTAGAGGACAGCTATGCTATGCTCCTGTTTGCAAGCATATCAGAGTGTTGTTGTTAGTGTCAAGGGTTGGCTCTCTCCTACGGGGTGGGTCTCAGGTTGGGCCAGGGATTGGTTAGGCAATCCCTCCAACTCTGCTCTACCTATCCCTGCTCATCTTGCAGGCAGGGTAAATTTTGGGTCTAAGTTTTTGTGGCTGGATTTGTGCTCCACTTCCCTCCACCAGTAGTCTTGTCATGGAGACTGAAAAGGCCACCTTCTAACCAGACAAGACTCTCCTCCTTCTACTTGGAGTCCTGTCTGGTTAGAGGTGGTGATCATGGATCAGTCTCCATTATCCCTGCTACTAGGGGGTCTCAACTAAAGTCACCCCCATATCCTCCTGGAGCCCACCCTGTTGTAGGTCTCCAATTTGTCACTGAAATGGCCCCTCCCACAGTTTCTCTTCTCTCTGCAAGCCTTGTCTTCCTGCCCACCCCACTCTCCCCATATCTGCTCCCCACCCTTGTTTTCCTTTGCACTCCCTCTCCTATGCTGTTCTGTCTCTTCAACCACTTCTACTGCTAGTTTATTTTTCTTTCTGAGTGAAATGCAAGCATCTTTCCTTGGGTCCTCCTTGTTACTTAGCTTCTTTGGGTCTGTAAATTGTATGGTTATCCTGTGCTAGATGGCTAATATTTGCTAATAAGTAAGTACATAGTGTGTGTGTGTGTGTGTGTGTGTGTGTGTGTGTGTGTGTGTGTTTTGAGGGTCTGCATCACCTCACTCAGGATGGTCTTTTCCAGTTCCATCCATTTGCCTGCAAATTTCATGATTTCCTTGTTTTTAATAGCTGAGTAGTATTCCATTGTGTAAATGTATCACATTTTATTTATTCTTCAGTTGAGGGACATCTGGGTTGTAATCACTGCTAACTGCTAAGCTCCAGCTGACCAGCATCAGTTGCCTCAGTAAAAGAAAGGTTTTATTTTAGTGTTTCTGGTCTCTTGTTAATCACAGCTGATTCTTCAGTTACAGCTGACCAGAAACCACAGATTCTTTACATAAATGGAAAGTAGAGTCTTTGCTTCCCTCTGACTTCACAAGCCAGGTGTCCATCATCTGCACTGCTCTCAACATTCTTATCTTCAAAGCTCAAACAAAACAGTTCATTGAACTCTCAATACTCTATGGCTCTTCTAGCCCAAAGTTCCAAAGTCCTTCCACAATCGTCTCCAAAAAGTGGTCAGGTCTGTCACAGCAATACCTTATCCTGCTATCTGTTTCTGTACTAGTGAAGGTTGGTACTGCTGTGAGGAAACACCACAACTAAAAGCAACTTGGGAAGGAAAGAGTTTATTTGGCTTACACTTGGATATCATAGTTCATCACCAAAGGAGGTCAGAATAGGAATGCAAGCAGAGCAGGGCTGGAGCCTGGAGGCAGGAGCTGATACAGAGGCTCTGGAGGGGTGTTGCTGCAGGCTTGCCTACAGCCTGATCTTACAGAGGCATTTTCTTAATTGGGGTTTGGTTTTCTCAGATGACTTCAGTGGGTATCAAGTTGACATAAAACTATCCAGCACATATTGTCTCCTCACATTCTGTTCTCATAAACTCTACTCAAATTCCGGGCCTTTCTGGGGAGATCTCAAATAAAGAGAGTTTGTTTGACCAACTTCCAGGCAAATACAACACACTGTGGTCATCATGCTGCAAATTTGGTCTTCAAAACTTGTCTTAAACATGAACCTTTGTACACATACACCATAATCTCTTTACTTCCTCCTCCTGTCCTGGCACTAGCTTCTATTCCTCACTTCCATAATCTTGACACTTTTAGTTTCTACACACAAGAAAGGTGGTGAAGTATTTGACTTCATGCCTGGGCCATGTGTTTGTGTGTAAGTGTGTGTGTGTGTTCATTTATAAACTTGGGTATGTTTGTTTTAAGAGAAGAATATCCTTAAGTGTTGTAAACTATGGGTCTATGATACCAACACCACAACATAGCGTCTGCATTAGAAAACAGACAAACTGAAGAACTAGGGAATCCAGAACAAAGTAAGCTTTTAGAAGGATTATCTTGCTATTTCATTCCTGGTTAAAGATTGTA